ACATTAAAATATTTAGCATCCTGCGTACATACAGTATAAACATTAAATTGTGTCATAATATAACTGTTTGTCAATAAAATAGAAACACAGGTAAAAGCAGTATTTCTATCTGTATATTAACCAGCCTAACCTTATCGGTTAGCAAACACCCATTAACCACCACGTCAAAATTCCGTCCTCCTATACAATTACAGTAAACTACGGTTGTAACGAACTCAAAAGGACCACTAATTTTAATTCGTAATAACCGTAATTCGTTTTAAGTATATGTACAACACATATACAGCAAATGGACGGGACCAACAAATAGTTCGTTATATCCGTCAGGTCGTTATAAACGTGTTTACTGTACTGTAGTTTATCGTAAATGTCAAATGTCGGTCACAGCGTGGATTCGTGTCTCTCGTTAAAGTTCACAGATCAAAGTTACTTTTGCCATTGTGAGTATTTTCAGATTCGAAGGTGTTATTTTCACAGTCCTATCATTTGAATATTTGAAACCTCCAGATATAATCGAACACTCAATAACCCCTGACAATCTGGGGACACAGTATGTCTATGTTAAAGATATACTCTGCTATTACTTGTACATAAGGTGCCTTCTTCAACCCCATTACAAGGATTCCCTACAGCGTTATCTCTCCGATCGCTTTGTGGAACTCGACTCTGGTCTTATTACAGCGGTCGATTATGTACAATACATTATGAATGTATGGTTCCTTTGTCAAGAATGAAGACATTCCCCACATGTGTTTCTTTCAGTTGACTCTGTTCCCTAAATGCCAAAGACTATCCAAGCTGAACGGGTAATAACTATCTTGAGGTTGTCTGAACACTGCCTGTCCGAGCATCAAGAGGCGCCATTACAAATACGCCATCGATGTGTCATAGCATAACAGTGGCCTGTATCTCCACACCTGACTGGCGTTACCAGTAGGGCGCTGTAACTTAGACAGCCACTTCTGTTTTCTTTGACAACAAAACCGATAAACGGTGTCCCTTGATATGATGACTTGCTGGGTGACAATCTGGCGCATCAGCAAGTTTGGAGAATGTGCTATGTGGACCGAAAGTATGGCGGGTGATACCGGTAGAAAAAGGGCATGCTTACTCTTATCCTTGCGAACACCTGGTATCATCACTGATTTTCGGTGATCCATTCATTTCATTCTTACCGCTAATTTTTCTTTTACGTCAAGTGGAATCTGTTTCAGCGGATATTGGAGACTGGTTATTTTGAGGTGTTGACGTTTTCGTTATACCCTTTTCGCGAACACATAGTGTCATCAATGACGCATAGGATGATATCAACTTTCTTCACTGTTCCACCTTTTACACCCAATGAAATATTCGAGATTTAATATTGCTCTGGCGTTGCCAGTTTGAATTTACAAGCTCTAAACTTTTCTTTCTCCAGTATATCTGTAAACGTTTAAACTTTTAATTAAATAATAGCGACAAAACCCTTTCCATGATAATAATACTCCGGTAAATAATAACACGTCGGGGGTGGGGGGTGGAGTGGGGTTGGGGGTTGGGGTTGGGGTTGGGGTTGGGGTTGGGGTTGGGGTTGGGGGTGGGGGTGGGGGTGGTTGAAGTACGGGTGGTCCCGTCGTCTAAAGTGCACCAGAATCCTATGATTGTGGGTTCGAATCCTGGTTCGCCCCGATTATGTTTCTAGGTTTGTCAGCAACATACCCGTGCTCGTGGGTTTCACCGAACGTCTGAGACCTGCATCACTTCGGGCTTTCCTCCCACATTCAGCTGACACGCGTGATATAACTGGAATACTGTTAAAAGCAGCGTTAAACCAAACTCACTCACACACTATAACGTCTCATCCAGATATATTGAAAAAGTGACTATTAACGCCATCTGTCACAGAGCCTGACCACTCAATATCAATTTGAGTCGCCCCTCACGACAAGCACGAGGCACTGATAGCCTATTCTGACCCGGAATCCCAACGAAGATCTGGATGTAGATGTGAACTCCAGAAGTGGAGTATAGAATATTTGTTTTCAGCTTGTTGAACAATGTGGTGACTTGATACTTTGTTAACTGACTTTGGACCCAATATACAACCAAATAGAATTGCTTTTCATTTTTCTACTCATCAGTGCTTCGAAATTTGAGGTAGAAGGGACGACTTCAAATATGACATGGACAATTTCCCCTTCATCTGGGTACCAATGCAAGTGAACGCCATCTCCGAGACCTTACTGTTTTGTTGAACTATTGTCTACCCAAGACGGGTACCAATGCAAGTGAACGCCATCTCCGAGACCTTACCGTCTTGTTGAACTATTGTCTACCTACTACGGGTACCAATGCAAGCGTACGCTATCTCCGAGATCTTACTGTTTTGTTGAACTATTGTCTACTTAAGACGGGTACCAATGCAAGTGAACGCCATCTCCTAGACCTCACTGTTTTGTTGAACTATTGTCTACTTAAGACGGGTACCAAAGCAAGTGAACGCCATCTCCTAAACCTTACTGTTTTGTTGAACTATTGTCTACTTAAGACGGGTACCAAAGCAAGTGAACGCCATCTCCTAAACCTTACTGTTTTGTTGAACTATTGTCTACTTAAGACGGGTACCAATGCAAGTCAACGTCATCTCCTAGACCTCACTGTTTTGTTGAACTATTGTCTACCTAAGACGGGTACCAAAGCAAGTGAACGCCATCTCCTAAACCTTACTGTTTTGTTGAACTATTGTCTACTTAAGACGGGTACCAATGCAAGTCAACGTCATCTCCTAGACCTCACTGTTTTGTTGAACTATTGTCTACCTAAGACGGGTACCAATGCAAGTGTACGCCATCTCCTAAACCTTACTGTTTTTTTAACTATTGTCGACCTAAGACGGGTACCAATGCAAGTGAACGTCATCTCCTAGACCTTACTGTTTTGTTAAACTATTGTCTATCTAAGACGGATACGATTGCAAGCGTACGCTATCTCCGAGACCTTACTGTTTTGTTGAACTATTGTCTACTTAAGACGGGTACCAATGCAAGTGAACGCCATCTCCTAGACCTCACCGTTTTGTTGAACTATTGTCTACTTAAGACGGGTACCAATGTAAGTGAACGCCATCTCCGAGACCTCACTGTTTTGTTAAACTATTGTCTACTTAAGACGGGTACCAATGCAAGTGAACGCCATCTCCTAGACCTTACTGTCTTGTTAAACTATTGTCTACTTAAGACGGGTACCAATGCAAGTGAACGCCATCTCCGAGACCTTACTGTTTTGTTGAACTATTGTCTACTTAAGACGGGTACCAATGCAAGTGAACGCCATCTCCTAGACCTTACTGTCTTGTTGAACTATTGTCTACTTAAGACGGGTACCAATGCAAGTGTACGTCATCTCCTAGACCTCACTGTTTTGTTGAACTGTTGTCTACTTAAGACGGGTACCAATGCAAGTGAACGCCATCTCCTAGACCTTACTGTCTTGTTGAACTATTGTCTACTTAAGACGGGTACCAATGCAAGTGTACGTCATCTCCTAGACCTCACTGTTTTGTTGAACTATTGTCTACTTAAGACGGGTACCAATGCAAGTGTACGTCATCTCCTAGACCTCACTGTTTTGTTGAACTATTGTCTACTTAAGACGGGTACCAATGCAAGTGTACGTCATCTCCTAGACCTCACTGTTTTGTTGAACTAGTGTCTACCTAAGACGGGTACCAATGCAAGTGAACGTCATCTCCTAGACCTCACTGTTTTGTTGAACTATTGTCTACCTAAGACGGGTACCAATGCAAGTGAACGCCATCTCCTAGACCTTACTGTCTTGTTGAACTATTGTCTACCCAAGACGGGTACCAATGCAAGTGAACGCCATCTCCTAGACCTAACTGTCTTTTTGAACTATTGTCTACCTAAGACGGGTACCAATGCAAGTGAACGCCATCTCCTAGACCTAACTGTCTTTTTGAACTATTGTCTACCTAAGACGGGTACCAATGCAAGTGTACGCCATCTCCGAGACCTAACTGTCTTGTTGAACTATGGTGTACCTAAGACGGGTACCAATGCAAGTGTACGCCATCTCCTAGACCTTACTGTCTTGTTGAACTATTGTCTACCTAAGACTGCCCAGAGCTTCTACATGCTTGTCTTCTCGAGCTTTTAACCACTGGTACATATAACATGCTTCATTATAATATGTAATATTGCTGACTGTGGCATAAAACGATACGCACTCATTTATTTACAATTCAATTTCATACCTGCATAATTAGTGAGTGAGTTGGGTTTAACGCCGCTTTTAACAGTATTCCAGTTATATCACGGCGTGTCAGCTTAATGTGGGAGGAAAGCCCGAAGTGATGCAGGTCTCAGACGTTTACCACTTCGTTGAAACCCACGAGCACGGGTATGGTGCTGACAAACCTAGAAACATAATCGGGGCGAACCGGGATTCGAACCCACAATCATAGATTTCTGGCGTGCCCAAAGGACGCAACTCTGCACAGCGAATCGCGGCGCCTTAGACGACTGGGCCACCCGTGCCCCCACCTGCATAATTAACGGAAAGACATGTCTGAATCCTCAAATTACTTGAGAAATAACGTATCACTATGCACACACAATGCCATTCAGAAAGTGGTCAAATGTAACAAATGTTATATAAGTGGGCTCACGCTTTCTGAGTAAAGTTTTGGGCTGCGTCCCGTCCGGGACTGCCAGTTTGAGGCACCAAATCGCCAGCACATAAAGTCAGCGATCTAAACCACTCAGCCACCGAGGCTTCCACAAAATGAAAGTCCGACAAAAAGGTGAGCTTATTTTGCCCTACTGGTAGCACCCGCCACAAACACATGCAAAGGCAAGTCAATTCATTCTAAACGTACAAATAAGTCGGCATACATTCCGTCCACAGGATAAACTGAACGGTCCTTTATCATAGACTGTTTAAGCTCTATTACCTGGTTTGGCTAAGCTACGTTTAATCTAAACATACAAGACAAACTCATATTAGATGTAATAGGAACATTTTATTATGAAAATAGCGAAACACAAACAGGAAATGACAACATTTTTTCTACGGCATGAACCATTAACAGGAGAACAATCTTCGGAAAACAACTGAGATCCATTGAAATACTATATGAATAAATATTCGAATCGGTAACAACATGTTTAAGAACAAAATTACAATTCGATCTGGTATCATTTGGAGGTGGGAATGGATATCATGTGTTGGAGTCATAACACTACCAATATATCATACATGAACTACAGCACAATAGAACACCTATCTAAAGACAAAACTACAGCCTTTATATAGGTAAGAACAATTCGATCAACGATGTACTGTACAAACTAATCTCATAACAATACAATACTAATATCACGTTGGAACTATCATGGCACCATTGTCTTTCTCTCGCAGAGATTCGCCATATAACTTGAGGTTTCTGTAAAGCAATTGGTATATATGGCAATTGTCACATGCCGTATGTCCTATACATAGCACTGGTAAGTGTCTATCATACTGAATGCTACTATATGTTATCATTGAGCATAAGCTATTAAGAATGAAAAATAAGTGATTCATATTTCGATCGGAATCACACACTTAGCACGTAATGCACGTATGTCTTTAAGGATCGGTGTATGTTTTGTGATATCATGGCGAGGTGCCTCAGTTCCTGTAACTAAGAAATGGCAAGTTGGCACTGTGTTGCCTAGTAGAAATCTGTAGGCTTGCACCTATAATACCGTATCTGAAACATAGTAGAAAAACAAAGGTAAGAACAACCTAAACGAACTAGTAAAGGAAACGTACCACCGAAACAAGAAATAAATAACATTACAATGCGTCATTGACCGTTGAGGATCATAAAATGTCTAACCTTTGGAGGACACTGCTTTACGTACGGATGACCAAATTATGAGTTTATATTCCAAAGATATGACATACCTTATTTGACAGTTTAAATTAACAAAGGCACATTGAAATTGACATTTAATTTGTCTCATATGGAATATACGAAATTCAGTGTTTCTAAAAAATGTCTTGGCGTATATATATGCAGCTTGCCATTTGCGAACACAAACTGAAAGATTTGATTGCATTTGACCTTCCCTAACAACGAAAAGCGGTGTCTCAATAGTATGAATATTACTTAAGGGTGTAGCTCTGATAATTCATATTAAATATCCTTAATGTAAACGTATTCATTCAGAGTCTACGACATGAAAGGATGTCTTTCATTTCATTCAGATGTACTGACATGACTTTGCTGAAAGCATAGCTCCCACGACTGCAGTGTCTTGCCAGAGCGTGCAGTTTTGTAAAGAATGCTGAACTGAGGTGTCTGACGATGGTAATGTTAGCCCCCTGTGTGTATACGGGAGGGCGGCGTGTGTACTACAAACTGTAGTTAAACACAAATGGGGTACTTACATAGTCGACGTCCCCTGTAAAGCCACCTGTTGCAGATCCATCTCCTCCCAAGGTGAAACCACATGTCATCAGAATTGCGTCAGGAGCTGAAGTACAAAGAGCAAATGTATTCACTATGGATTGTTTATCATTTAAATATTTCCGTATCACAGATTTGCTATTCTATTTATTCGTTTATGAATTTTTCAAAAATAACATGCAAAGTAATATCTCTGATGTGTCTTCTTCACGTAACCAATTATATACATTTTGAAAGATCCAGATAACAGATAGTCAACTGTAACAAGCTGGATGCATACATGATTGATTCATAATTATTAAAGGCGCTCTTCTGTATTCCTTTTGATAGTTGCATGCCCTCAAAGCAGTGGAGAGTGTAATGTGAATGACAATTATCAGTTGACTAGGGTAGTTATGCTAGTAATGTCATTCGCTTTGGGCATGACCTTTTGTCATGTGGAGACCGGCGCTTTATATATCGTCTGTTATTATCATTTAGGTCGCAGTAAGCTATTGACACCGAAAAGAAGATTGCAAGCCAAGCATAGATTTCGTATACAAAAGACCTACCCGATTCCCTGTTGATGTATTCGTAGTTCGTGGTCTGAATCACCACAGTCAGAGCCGATGCCTCATATAGCAGTGTCACAGTCTTCCACTCACTGGTTGGGAAGCCCTGCATGATAAAACTTAACGGTTAAACAACATCTTTTTTCAGGAGAAAAAAAGTTAGCTCAATGAGCCAAATGCTACGTGGGGCTGGTTGGAAATCACACATTTTGTTCGGTTACATCTGCATTTTGAATGCTGTTGTCATGGGGGTGGGGGTGGGGGGGGGGGGGGGGTGGGGGGGGGGGCTGGGGGTGGGGGGGGGGGGCTGGTAGGTGTGTGTGTGTGGGGGGGGGGGGGTAGGATGGGCCCATGTTTTCTATTTGGTAGTGATTCATAAACATATGCTCATGATATAGTGGGAATCGTACAATCGGCTCATATCTCTCATGATTATGGAAAGGGTTTTGTTGCTGTTATTTATTATACATGATTGTCTATAATTGAATTTGGCTGTGTATCTCACCGATGTTGGTTTTAGTTATTATACATGATTGTCTGTATTTGAATATGGCTGTGTATCTCACCGATGTTGGTTTTAGTTATTATACACGATTGTCTGTATTTGAATATGGCTGTGTATCTCACCGATGTTGGTTTTAGTTATTATACATGATTGTCTGTATTTGAATATGGCTGTGTATCTCACCGATGTTGGTTTTAGTTATTATACACGATTGTCTGTATTTGAATATGGCTGTGTATCTCACCGATGTTGGTTTTAGTTAATATACATGATTGTCTATAATTGAATATGTCTCTGTATCTCACCGATGTTGGTTTTAGTTAATATACATGATTGTCTATAATTGAATATATCTCTGTATCTCACCGATGTTGGTTTTAGTTAATATACATGATTGTCTTTAATTGAATATGTCTCTGTATCTCACCGATGTTGATGCAAGAAGTCGGACCACTCCACCCCTCCATGTCGACATCTCAACACGCACCGCCGACGGTTCAAGATACATTACAAGTGAACTAGCATTCTTACAGTCAGCACATTCTACGCTTTTTGCTAGCAGTTGTCTTGATGCAACAGGCGTGTTCTCTCTGTATCGGAAACGAAGAGCTATACTTGATGCTGTGTTGGATCCGCGACTCAGGTCTTGGTTGGTTGAAACAAAGCTGTTTCCGTTAAAGCTACCATATTGATTAATGCGTATAGGAGCGTTTTGAATGATCCAGCCGGTTGGATTGGCAGTGTTGAACTCGGCCGAGGAGGCAAGGGGGCATGCTAAAACACAAAATAAGACAGATATAAAGGTAAATATATAGACATATCAAGCAATCGTCACTGCAAACAGTCAATGCCATGTTACTGCTTCACATCTGGATTAGGTGACTTAAATCACATGTATGAAACTGTTTATTTTACATTTGAAAATGAAAAAGAAAATTCTTCCAGAAAACTACAAAATCTATAAAATTAAACAGAAATCTATTTCATCCTACAGTAACTTTGAAAAACGAATCTGGAAGGTTAAGTCTTATGCCAATAAAGGTCAAACCTGACTTACATGGTGTTTGGGAAACACACTGGCATTTAGCAATGTCATAGACCTGTCCAAATGGACAGTCACTATTCATCCATCCAATGGAACCAGCTTGAATGGCATAGGAGGTTCTGGCGTTCCAAACGGGGCGCTTGTCACAGGATTCTAGGGTGGAATGACGAAAGTTAACACAAATTCAATGACAACAATGCTGACAGTATTATTATCAATGAACCAAATCCATTGCATTTCGTTACTACCATGATTATATGTCATTTACGTAAAAACTAAAAGTGATGAAAACTCTCCGTCACTTTCTTCTGCTTTCAATGAATATGTTAGAATACTTGTAGTTGGTGAAAATTGGGAATACAAAACTTAACATACAAAACAACATAGATTTATGAAGGAATGAAAGCACGTTGTGGCATGTCGAGATAGCTGGTAGAGACTTAGTAGAAACACGAATTGTAAATAGAATCTGACAATCCAAGCTTGTAAAGGGATGGGCAATAAAGGATTAGGTTAATGCGTTAATATGCGACCGTAGAAATAATAATTGTCAAATATACCAATCCCTGGTGATGAATAGTTCTAGGATTGGAGTTTGGTTTGTAATACCTTTGTGGGTTTGAAATGAGTACAGCTGGTTGGGACGAGTCATGTATGGGGTGATATGGGTGTGGGCCTGCTGTGTCAACTAACCTTTGCCATCTAAGCACGGCACAGGACAAGGGTCTGTACAGAAAGGATCGGGCATACATCCTCTCCCTGGCATGAACCTGTAACCTGTACTGCAACACTGTGCCTCTGATGTCCCGTTGGTGCATGCCCAGTATGCACGACAGCTGCCATCCATGTCGTAGATAGGCTCACAGTCGGAGTTGCATTTTTCTGCGGAAGATAAAGAGATTTCGTTAGATCATGAATGTTTTGTTTATTTGTTGTTTAACGCCGCACTCAGCAATATTCCAGCTATATTACGAAAATACGTATTGTATGTTTGTTTTTTTGTTGTTTAACGCGGCACTCACCATTATTCCAGCTATATGACAGCGGTCTGTAAATAATCGAGTCTGGACCAGACAATCCACTGATTGAAATCATGAGCATTTATCAACGCTTTTGGGATCAATGCCATGCATCAACCAAGTAAGCGAGCCTGACCACCCGATCCCGTTAGTCGCCTCTTACGACAAGTATAGGCGCATTTTACAGCAAGCATGGGTTGCTGAAGGCCTATTCTACGTCGGATCTTCACGTGTCAAGAAAATACGTCGCCGTGATTAATATATTCAGATCATCTTACCAAGGGGGCATTTAACCTTCCATGAGCGGTCGCATCTGAGAAGTGTCTGGTCCCAGTAGTAACCAAATGGACATGATTTGAAGACAGCAACAACGTCACTAGTAGTATTGTAGTAGCACATGATGTACTTATCACAGTCTTCGGGGTGGTAACGATATCCCACGCCCTTGACGTTCACTGTGTCCCGACAAATGCCTGAAAAGAATACATTCAAGTTAAACTATCGTTAGACTTAGTGAACATATGTTTGTACACAATTATAACTTGACAAATTATCATTCAAATACCGAAATGAGTAGTGGCACTTAAACAAAATATATTTGTTGATATATAACTAAAAGAACAAGAGACGAAATTCAGGATAATACAATGCGAACAAAAAGGAAGTAAAATTATTTTGTTCTCTGATGCACAATGACGTAGGTAACAATTATTGTCAGGATCTACAGCAGCCTTTGCAACATTGCTTAAAATCGCAATCAAATTGTACTCACCTTCAACTTGTCCTGGAACAAAGGAAACAAAAATTCCGTTAATAATTTTCAAAATGAATGACACTACGAGGTGAAGATAGTATTTATGTAATAGTGCATTATGAATAGAGACATCGATTGTGTCATATAATATCTAATGAACATGTGTCAAGTCTTAATCATTTAAAACTAGCAATCGTATCTCTGATTAAAGATGATACTGCTAGTGGAATCGATGGAATCATTATGTGTGTTTGTTCGTAAGGCCATAGGTGATGTACCTATTATTGAAGTCAATTATATGTTGTTGGAAGTTTAAAGGTGTTTCCTACGCCAGGTCTTAATTTTTATGAGTTTGTTTCCGTCGGAGTTACTAATGTGTACTTCTTGTAACTGATTCAAAAATGTACCTGGACAATGGCTTAAACCACAGTTGCGCTGAAACGATTCTCTATCAGAGCCAGTGCAGTTCCTTCCTCCGTTCCGCGGGGAGGGGTTGGAACAGGTTCGTACTCTGTAGTTTTCTCTCGTGACATCGGCACCACATGTTTGTGGACACCCTGCATCCAGCCAAGGTGTCCAAGGTGTCCAATTGCCATCAACTGAAATTTGGGATTCAAAATAAATACGACGGTTCCAAAAACAGGCAGTAACAGAAGACGGCCTAAATCATAACAACAGTATGCTTTTTCAATGGCAACTCTACATGCATATCACAACTTAAATATAAATTAGAAACGGTAATCCTTATTGGGATTTTGTATGATCATTTGAAATTAATTGAGTAATAAAATATAATAATAACTATTCAACTCAAATTAAAAAAGATACATTACCAATGTGAAACGTTTAAAATGTATTTGCAATAAACGTGCAAACAGTGACAAAAACATATTTACTTGGACAATTGTTGAGATTACAACTGGCGAATTTGGTAGCGATCAACGTGTCGGTACAAAAAGCGCCTCCATTGGAAGGTCTTGGGTTGGTGCAGCTTCGAATTCTGGTGCTTAACCCTGTAGCTCCGGCTCCACATGACACAGTGCATGACGGTGGCCCCCATGGTCCCCACATGGTTAATCCTCCATTAACTTGAAATGAAGAGGAAGTGTACAAGAAATATGAAAATGGATGTTTCATTGAAAAACATAAGTCATTTTGTAAATTGACAAAACCCTTTCCATAATCATCGGAACATCTACTAAACGCCGAGTCCATTGTACGATTCCGACTTTATCATGTGTTTACAAATCACATACGTAATGCACGAGTCGGAGAACACACTGACTAGCAATGTCAATAGGACGTAAATGGGATTTCCTGATCATAGTGATATGATAGGAAACTTATGTTCTTTCCTTCAAAATCACAGGTAGATATTTAAAATAGGAAATATGCACGTTATTAGAAACTTATCAAGATAAATATCAACCATTTATCGAAAAAAGGCAACAATGTGTATATTTAAAGAATATATCTCGGAACGTTGTGTTCCTCATTGTTAAGAAGTTGACATCCACATATTCTCTTCCTTAAGTGTATCACTTCTAAATGCCTTTCAAAGAAATGTGTATATTTATGTGGTGGGATTTCTACCAATATTCATTTGATACGTGTTTTGGACACGTTATAATTCCAATGCCAGGCCTGTAGTCTTCCATGTCTATAACCCACCTGGACATAATGAAAGTCCGCAAGATCTTTCCTGTGTCTCACTTCTACTCTCTGGACATTCCCGGCCGCCGTTTAGAGGCGCAGGACTGGTGCAAGTTCTTAACCTGATAACAGTGCGGGTACGTGTTGAGGGTCCACACGTTTCAGGACAGGCGGGTCCTGCCCATTGTTCCCACTGACTGATTCCTCCATCAACTGATCAAATTAAAGTCAAAAATAAATATATCATCCTGCCTTGAAAACACTTAGCACACTTACTTAATCACTTTAAAACATTGAGAAGGGTAGTAATATTATATGAATAAGAACCGTTTAGGTATTGAGGGTTTTGTGTCACAATTAAATAGAATACAAAAACTCATATATTACCATATCACAGTATGTCACTGAGACTGAGGTCCTTTTTTATTTGGAATTAGTTTGATTATATATATATTTCGGTTAACAACAAGAAGGTCATCAAGGATCACAGCAATCACAGCGGCTGAAAGGCGTTTCGCTTAGCTTCTATGTCGTGTTCTGCCATCTGTTGTTATTGTCGTAGTGGCTAAAAGTTTTTACATAATGTTACATAATTTTACATTATGGGAGTAAATTGGTTTTACGCATCGTTTAGCATTATAATAAATATCACGGCATGAGACCCCAGGACTTCACAGAAAGCACGTACGTGGGGAATAAGAACGACTATAGGGTTTTTTTTTTTTTTTGTCACTCAGCAATATTCCAGCAATGTGACGGCGGTCTGTAAATAATCGAGTCTGGACCAGACAATCCAGTGATTGATATCATGAGCATCCACGCAATTGGGATACGATGACATGCATCGAGCTGTCAGCGAGTCAGCGAGCTCCCGACCTCGTAAGTCGCCCCTTACGACAAGCAGGGGTTGCTGAAGACCAATTCTAACCCGGATCTTCACGGGTACATATTGGCGACCCGACCGCCCCTAGGTATTAGATACTTGTAAGTCATGGATTGTGTGAACTCACTTGGACATAGAGGTAAGGTGCATGGTCTGGTTTCAGTCGAGGTTGAAGACCCGAGAAGGGAACAGTCGCGTCCCCCAAACTGAGGTGATGGGGTGTTACAGACCCTAACTCTGGTGTAGGTCCTGGAAGCAGTTCCACATGTCCTTGGACAGGCACCAACACTCCATTCTCCCCAGGGGGAGTAACCGCCGTTGACTGAAAAAAACAAAAGAAAATACATATAAAGTAACTATTATCAATCATTGGTGTTCAACCCTTAACACATGACGTCATTTTGACCAAATCTGCATGTTAAGGTCAGAGAGTTAAGGAAAGAAGAGAAGACTAGCAATACATGTATATTTATTGTAATATTGCTACTTTGAGCAACAAAACCCATACATGTTGCTGGACTGCAGAGAAAAGTTATTTGTCATTTGTTCTTGATACTGCAACTCCTTTCCAAATGCTTTATGGTGAATGATAATCAAAATACATGTAAGCTTTTGGAACGGTATGAGTATCGCTTTATCCATTACTGTTTCAAGTAGCTAACATGTGGGTCGGTTCGTAGGGTAAACAGATAACGTGATTAGTTTCTATACCCTTATTGAATAGTTAAGTGAAATAGTGAACAAGGTTCCACCATCTATCTATCTATCTGGCGTCTTAGTGTTCAGGCAGTGCATACTTGGGCAATTTGATAGTCTGCAGTTAGTTGTTTTGGTGTCAAAGGCTGGTCCCACACAGTTGGCTCCACCGAACGCAGGTGTTGGATTATTACACTGTCTGGTTCTCGTCACCGATTTGGTGGCTGTTGTCCCACAGGTGAGTCCACAGGGAGGATCTGACCACGGAGTCCATTGGTTATATCCTCCGTTAACTGAAACCAAAACAGCATCGTTATCAGAATGGCAGTGTAATCCAGCAGCTACAAGCATCTATTTATAAATTTGATCTCATGGAAAATCTGGAAATCCCACTCGCGGTATGCGAACTATTTTAGTAGAATCTAATACAGTATGAACTTAGGCTTGTAAATCTGTATAACTTTCAAGTGTGCATTGTCGGAAGGTTTGGTCGTTGTACATGTGGTATGCTTCTGCCAAGGTGATAAAATGACTAGTGGGATCACAAAGCATTTCAAGACCCTCATTTGGAATCTTATAACAAAGAGTTGCATTAGTTTGCAGATATGTAGTTTTCCTCTCAAACAACACACTCTTACGTATATACCAATCCCATACCAATTAATTACACTGAGGGAGAAATCCTTGTAGATGACTGATTTTTTCAATATAATCGTAATTTTATTTGTACACATATTAACATACAATTATTATCATTTTAGACGTATTATGACGATATTGATTTCGATATTGAGTTAGTTATCAGTGAAACAAAATGTTGGAAAAAAACTCTCGTATGACAATTCATTTAAGGTAAAATAAAATAAACACAGTATAAGGCGACAAATTAAAATATTTTACCTGGACATGAACCAAGGTTGCAGCTTTCGCTTTTTGTTTCAAAGGTAGATTGTGTGCATTCTCTGCCTCCAAACTGTGGGCGAGGGTTGGTACATGTTCTTGTTCTGGTCGGTATTTTGGTTGCTAATATTCCACAAGTAACCGGACAGTCTACGTTGGACCACTGAGACCATTGTGATATTCCACCGTTAACTGCAAATGACAAAAACACCACAACTGTAAGTGGCAAGAATCTATTTTCGTAACACTCCTTGGCGAGTTCTACTGCTATGAAAGATTTTATTAAAGGCGTTACATGTATTTCTTCAGTTGCAAGTAAGTGCTCAAACAAATTAATACATTACATGTAAAATATTTCAGAAAGAAGTGCAAACACAATTATTCGACACGGCACCAACAATATCGTTTGTTTGTTCTTTAACGCCTCACTGAGTAATATCCCAGCTATACGACGGCGGTCTGAAAATAATAGGCTGTGGACAAGACAATCAAGTGATTGACACAATGAGCATTGATCAAGGTAATTGACGATGACATGCATCAGGTAAGAGTTCATGTCCCGATATCGTTAGTCGCCTCTTACGACAAGCGTGGGTGACCATTTCGAACCTGGATCTTCTTGGGTCAACAATATCAGGTGCATACTGACATAAGTATTCTACGGACTTACTGGGACATTGGGGAAGGTTGCAGCTCCTTGTGTCCAACTCATTTGTAGGGCCTGTACAGTTTGCCCCACCAAAACTTGGAGATGGATTGTTGCAGACCCTACTTCTGACAAATGTCCTTGTGATGCCTGGTCCACAAGTTGCAGGACACACGGGGTTGTTCCATGGGGACCAATTAGAGAAGCTGCCATCAACTGAATGAGATAGATTATATTAGTTAGTGTGTGAGTATAGTTTTAAGCCGCTTTTAGCAATATTCCAGCAATATCACGGCGGTGGACACCAGAAATGGGTTTCACACATTGTACCCGTGTCGGGAGATAATATTAGTACCATTCAGAAACACAATATGTTTGTTTATATGAACTTTGATAAAAGGTGTTTGAAGAAAGATGGAAATCAGTTCGACTTTGGAAAAAATGCAGTTCAAATGGAAATATAATTTCAGCAATCAAAGTACAATGAATAGTGTTGTGCTTACTTGGACATGGATTTAAACCGCAGTTCTGAGTGGCAGTCTCTTGCAAAGGCTCAGTACAAAATGCCCCTCCATTCGACGGAGAGGGGCTGGTACAGTTTCGTAGTCTGAGGACAGGTGATGTGGCGGTTGACCCACAACTGACAGTGCACTGTGGGGGGCTCCACGATCCCCAGGGCGATACGCCACCATTAACTGAAACATCATTTGGGATCACATTCTAAAGAATTTTTAAGATGTTCAAAGCTGAGGGCTTTATCATTTGAAGGTCAAAACCGTTTCCATAATCATGAGAATTCTCTGATAAAAGCAAAGTCCGTTGTACAGTCCTGACTATATCATGAGCATGTTTTTTTTATGAATCCTTATCATATAGTGGCACCATATATAGATTTCTAGGCTTGACGGATATAATATGTGTGAAGCGTCCTGTTCGCATTTAACTGCATTGCTATATCATTTGAAGACATTTTCTGCTATGCATTATTATCATTCACATACATTTGAACCAGTACTTTTACTCCATTTCAGTCCAAAAAATAATCAAGGACAGTATGATTCCTACCTGGACAGCCTCGTAGGAAACACGGAACACCGCTCTGTACTTCAATCAAATTCCCTGTGCAGTTTCTACCACCGTCCCTAGGTGTTGGATTAGTACATGTTCTCTCCCTGGTTATTGTCCGTGTTCCAGGTCCACAGGTTCTTGAGCATGCGGGCTCTGTCCACTGCGACCATAGGGTCAAGCCCCCATTGACTGATAAGCGGAAACAAGTAGAGGAGAGAATCTTATCGGATTTCATATAAATAATACATTTCACAGGTAATATAATTTCATGATGGCGCTTCTGACAGCAGCCGTATGCCACCTCATAAAAGACGTTGCTGGGTGTTGAACCAAATAGAATATATGTGTTATAACATCATTATCCTTTATGATAGAATGGTTGTAACAGAATGACCTTAATACATGCATATAAAAATAAGCTTACTTGGGCAAAGAGGAAGACCGCAGGCTCTGACCTCTGTGTCCCTGTAAAGACCAGTGCAGTTGGCACCACCAACTTGAGGAGCTGGATTGGTACAAGTTCTTATTCGGGCGAGAGTTCTAATAGCTCTAGGACCACATGTAGCGCCACAGGGAGGATTGTCCCACGACGACCACGGAGAAAAGCCACCATCAACTGAAAAGGAATTCAAATACAGTTTCTGCGTCTCATTTAAACTGCACGCCTTTGATGAAATGTGTTAAATAATTTAGTGTAAGCTGTTCGTATTTTTAAACTAAAGTGTAATTTAATTTTATTAGAACAAGAGTGTAACTCACGTGGACATGGTGGAAGTCCGCAGCTTCTCTGGATACTCTGAAACCTCACTGTCTCGGTACATTGTAATCCATTGTACCGCGGTACAGGATTAGTACAGGTTCGTTCTCTGGTGACGGTTCTGGTTGCTCCAGTGCCACATGTAACTGTGCAACCAGGATTTGTCCATTGGGTCCACACCGAAATACCCCCATTGACTTAAAAATAAAATGAAATCAAAGATGCGTAAACATAAATTGTCAATGCAAGAGAATAATCAGCCTTGATTTTCTTCCGAAACAGATTCCACTTGGCGTAAAGGGCAAAAAGTTGTGGAAATTATAGGAATGGACCACTGAAACTCAGTGATGATCAAGTGTCGAGAAAGTGGTACGTAAGTCCTGCACTACCGGTAGCACATCATGACAAGAAAGACAACATATTGATTATTTTTTTTAAAGAAAATGATGGTCGCCATTAAATATACAATATTAAATATGTACATCTTCATCTGATTTACAAATTTAGAATAATCAATTCATCTCACAAAGTCCTGCTCTACCAGTAGCACATCATGACAAGAAAGATAACATATTGATTATTTTCTTTTAAGAAAATGATGGTCGCCATTAAATATACAATATTAAATATGTACATCTTCATCTGTTTTACAAATCTAGAATAATAAATTAATCTTATAAACATATTTTTTTGTCTATTGTTTTGTTACACATATGTTTAAGTAAACGGTAACAATTGCAACCATGATGGTTTAGTTACATACTTGGGCACAGAGGGAGTGAACAGACTCTGGCATCGGTTTCTAGGCTTATCCCGATGCAGTTTAACCCTCCAAATGCTGGCGCTGGATTATTGCACAGTCTGGTTCTGAGGAGCGTGCGCGTAACTCCGGTTCCGCAGGTACTAGCACAGGATGGATTATTCCAAGGCGCCCACGGACTATAGCCACCATGAACTATATTAAAGAAACAAAGTACAATGCTACCTTTTGTTACAAGAAGAACGAACGACGAAAAAGGACACAGTAAAATAACGACTTACAATGTCATAGATGTTTATGTTTATATACAAATACATGAAAAGCAATATTATTCTTACTTGGACATGGATCATTGTTGCAGTTCGTTGTATTGTATTGCAAACGTTCCCCTACACAATCCCGGCCGTTATTGCCTGGTGATGGGAGAGTACAGGTCCTGGTTCGCGTGACGATCTTAGTAGCTTCCCGACCACACGTGACTGGGCATGCTGGCTGAGTCCATGGTGTCCATTGCGTAAAGCCTCCATCAACTTAAAATACATGGATTTTACTTTTATCATCCAAAACTGGCTCCCGAGGAGATATCGCTTGGATGAGATCAAGCGATATCTACACTGTAGATATCGCTGCGATGAAATTACATCACAATGCTTTGCAGACCATTATGACGTCACTACCATGACGTCACAATCAAATGACATCACTAATGGCTCTGCTACTGAAGCTGTTTGCAGTACTTTTTACACTGAAGACACTGCTAATTACTGTCTACAAATTGAAAAAGTTGAAAGAATGATGTTGGATGATAAATAAATATAACTCGTTGATAAAAGGGCAAAAATCCTCGGCAAGCCTCGGATCTTTTCCACTTTTATCAACTCGTGTTGATATATTTGATATCAAAAGACACGAGGGTGAGATTCTCTATTTAACACATGCCTCATTTCCTAATGAAATTACAAAGATTGAAAAGTTATTGCCATCAGGGGTATTCACCACTGGTCGTATCTAAATCGTCCGCAGGACTATATTTGGTGAGACAAAAAGTTTTCCCAGTTCAACTATTCACATTTATATCAGTATACATTGTGTTGAACACAAATATACACAATGCGTGAAACATGTGATTCATAAAATTATAACAATTTAATATAAATTGGCAACTTGTCTGCATCAGTATATATGTTCTTCGTGACCTTTAGTCTGCATGCATCATGTTATAGATCTTTACGTTTACATAAAATGCTTACCGTTACAGTTTCATGTTAAAAGTGGAGGTGGCACCCTGTAGGTTTTGTTAATTCTATATGTATTTTAGACATTTGCAAATTATTCTTTGGATAAGAAGAAATGTATCATAAGGGGTGTTACATGGGAACGTGACTAGCTTAGAAGATGACCATTATAACATGTAATGATTGCATGTTCATGCAGAAAGGGTACAAAATATCATTACAGTTGTAGATAAACAAATGCAACATAATATCACATGTGAAATAAGAACCAAGTTGTAAGCAGAAATCATAGGGCGATTTATACATATATTAATGTGTCCTGTGTTCATGAACATGTAGGTACAGGCTTCCCGAAGACGCATGAATAAAACGTAGTCCAGTATTTTTCGTGAACATACCTGGGCAGTTGCTACCACTGCATGTCTGGAAGAGGGTCTGTGTCCTCGCGTCTGTGCAGTTTCTGCCGCCATTCTGAGGAGTGGGGTTGTTGCAGAATCTGTATCGAGTTCTGATCCTGTTTCCGACACCGCATGTAACGGAGCATGGTGGGTCCTCCCACGGTCCCCACACAGATATTCCACCGTCAACTGTTGAAAAAAGTAGAAAGTCAGACTGGCGGTGGCGAGTGTAAAGGCGAGGGCAGGGCGAGGGCAGGGCGAGGATGAGGGTGAGGGCGAGGGCGAGGGCGAGGGCGAGGGTGAGGATGAGGGTGAGGGCGAGGGCGAGGATGAGGGTGAGGGCGAGGGCGAGGGCGAGGGCGAGGGCGAGGGAGAGGACGAGGGCTAGGACGAGGGAGAGGTTGAGGGTGAGGGCGAGGGCGAGGGTGAGGGCGAGGGCAGGGCGAGAATGAGGGTAAGGGTGAGGGCGAGGGCGAGGGCGAGGGCGAGGGTGAGGGCGAGGGCGAGGGCGAGGGCGAGGGTGAGGGCGAGGGCGAGGGCGAGGGCGAGGGCGAGGGAGAGGACGAGGGCTAGGACGAGGGAGAGGTTGAGGGTGAGGGCGAGGGCGAGGGTGAGGGCGAGGGCAGGGCGAGAATGAGGGTAAGGGTGAGGGCGAGGGCGAGGGCGAGGGCGAGGGTGAGGGCGAGGGCGAGGGCGAGGGCGAGGGTGAGGGCGAGGGCGAGGGCGAGGGCGAGGGCAGGGCGAGGATGAGGGTGAGGGCGAGGGCGAGGGCGAGGGCAGGGCGAGGGCGAGGGCAGGGCGAGGATGAGGGCAAGGGCGAGGGCAAGGGCGAGGGCGAGGATGAGGGCGAGGGCGAGGGCGAGGGTGAGGGCGAGGGCGAGTTCGAGGGCAAGGGCGAGGGCAGGGCGAGGATGAGGGCAAGGGCGAGGGCGAGAATGAGGGTGAGGGTGAGGGTGAGGGAGGGGTCGAGGGTGAGGGCGAGGGCGAGGGCGAGGGAGAGGGAGAGGGAGAGGACGAGGGCTAGGACGAGGGAGAGGTTGAGGGTGAGGTCGAGGGCTAGGGCGAGAGCGAGGGCGAGAGCGATGACGAGGGCGAGGGCGAGGATGAGGGCTAGGGCGAGGGTGAGGGCGAGGAGGAGGTAGAGGTCGAGGAGGAGGGCGAGGGCGAGGGTGAGGTCGAGTTCGAGGTCGATGGCGATGGCGAGGCCGAGGGCGAGAACGAGGGGGAGGGCGAGGGTGACATCCACATGTGAACCGCAATGGCATAAACCCAAAGTAATCCATTTGAGGTCGGGGTCTGTTGAGGGCGAGGTCGAGGACGAGGGCAAGAGCGTGGTCGAGCTGAATCGCAGTGATATAACTGCGATACTGTTACAAGCGGCTCTAAACCCAACTCACTGACTCACTCCAATCAGATCAGTGGGCCCCATAAAACCATAATGGTTACAACTATATGAAAATGATAGCTAAAATGGTATTTCTTACCGCGGCATACAGGAAGGAAGCAGTTCTGCCTTCGTGTCTCAAAATCTGATCCAACACAACTTAATCCACCAAAACTTGGAGTTGGATTGGTACAATTCCTTCTTCGCGTTCCAGTCCTAAAGGCAACCCCACACGTGACTTGACAAGCAGGCTCATCCCAAAGGGACCACAGTGTAAAGCCTCCATTAACTGAAATTAGAATGTTCAGTTTTTGTCATAAGCTCAACAGGTAACGTCGCACTACAGAGATAACACGCAGACAGCCCTCCGGAGTGACCTGAGGACTGAGAACTCTACAAACACATTTGGCAATGTATAAAAGATAAGGGATTGAACACAGCTTTTCTGGCTTGGTCATCTCGTATCTTACCTGGACAACCCTGAAGAAGGCAATTCCGTGGCGTCGTTTCTGTTCTTGTTTCTGTACAGTTGGCGCCACCGAAACGTGGGGTTGGATTTGTGCAGGTCCTTCTTCTGGTGACAAACTTCGTGGCAGAAGCTCCACACGTGACAGGACATTCGGGGTTGTCAAACTGACTCCATTGCGATATACCTCCATTGACTGTAACAAAAACCAGGAGGTTTATATAGTGAGCCTTACGTTTGTTTGTTGTTTAATGCCGTAATATTCTATCAATATGACTTCATCACTGTAATGACATAAATATCATGCCAACAAGTTCAAAAATTTAACATTTTTTTCACTTTCGCACTTCATTTTATGAACTTACTCATCTCAAAATACATGTATATTGATAAAGAAACAAGCGTTCACTCATACTCCTGAACGTAACTAGAAAATGAATTAACAAAAACATGTTTGTCTAACTATCGTTAAGTACTTTCCTGACTTCATCCCACGAATTTAAATCTGACCAAATGCTCAAGTTTCCAAATACCCTTGTTTACAAGGCAAGTCTACAAATGTCTCCACTTGTACTGATGTAATGTCCATACTATCTGGGACAAATGCAATATGCATCAATAACTTATTGTACAAGTCCCTCAAAAGCCATATGCAATCAGTTGGGATCGTTGTAGGTTCCCTGGGAAATGCAAGATTAACCCGCGAAGATCCGGGGTAGAATAGGCGACTATGCTTGTCGTAAGGGGCGAGTAACAGGATCGGGTGGGCATATTCGCTGACTTGGTTGAAGCATGTCATCGTATCCCAATTGCGTGGATCCATGCTCATGATCCCAATCACTATATTATTTACATATCGCCGTCATATAGCTGGGATATTGCTGAGTGCGGCGTTAAATAACAAACAAACAAACAAACAAACAAAAGCAAGATTAACATTCACATGGACCTAGGAAGGTATTGTGTGTACAATGGACCAAGAGGACTGTAAAAGTTATGCATTAACTGAAGCAAAACCTAAGAAAGTTTGGAACGACTTATGTTTCTCTGATGAATTACTGTCAGTAGATATTGAATCTGAATGGCTGAATCACTAAGAAAACACCCCTAAAGAAAACACCAGGCATGTAACAGGATCCCACCCACCCACTTGTCGACAGTGTGCGTATTACATGTATTATATGCAAGGCTGTAACACGTCAACCTATATATAAAAGGCATGAATGGGAGAAGAGCTGGTAAAACCGGTTCGCTGAAATATCCGGTTGATCCTGTTTTACAAGCTTCAGTACAAGATTCCAGAGCAGTAATTCGTATAAGAGATATACGTACATAGCTACATCTATTAAATAGACATCTGATTGTTCGTTTGAACTGTCTGAACTATCTGTTACAATACTGAATCCGACAACTCCGACATAACTAAACCAAAGTGATATGGTGAAATAACGTGACTGGTAGCTGGCTACTACACCCCCACCCCTACCCCCACCCCCACCCCCATTTACACATGGTGTGGGCGGTACCGGCTAGCACTGATGAAGTTACACTGGAATTACTACTATGTTCGAGGGTGTGACTGATGATGAGTGCCTTGTCGTATCTCAACTACTATCGCAAGTCTATGTTATAGTATGATCGTCAGGCCTGCCCCGGAGCTATGTCAAAACGCTATGTCACACATGCCTGTGTCAAGTTTTGGATCGTTAACCTTAACCGTTATTTTCTCATCACCTGACAAGATGATAAATTCTGTAGCTGGCCAAATAGAAATGAACCTCTGTATATTTCGATAGGAGGCTGCAACCATGATATTTGGTGTATACCTTTTAACAGGTTTTTACCCGCTTATGCAAAGTACATAGGAAATGGGCCTAGCAAATGTTTAACACTCTTTATAGCCCTGTTTTCTTAATAAAGAATAAGAAATGTAATACATCGAAGTAATGTAATTTTAGACAAGTTAAATTTCATGAAGTCATATGTATACTGGAGCAAGACAAATCTCAGTAAGTGACTAGGTTGGAGAAGAGGTGAGGTGAAATTGGGTTTAACGTCGCGTCGAATTGTACTTATATAGCGACGTGCATGCACGTGTATGTGTGTGTGTGGCTGCTTGTACTAGCCCGGACTGATGCCGATTTATAGTGCTAGCTCACTGAGATACCATGCCGCAGTTTAACATGAATACCCCACTCAGACACAGTATACTGACTCCGAGCCGACCAGTCCTTGTTTTAGCCCCTTAATGCCGAGCGCCGGACAGGGTAACAACAAGTACAATCTTTTAACGTCTTTTTGTATGACGCGGCCCGGGATCGAACCCTGGACCTTCCGCTCTCCGGGCGGACGCTCTACCACTAGACCACGGAGGCGGTCGGGTTGGAGAAGAATGCTGATGTAAATGTATCAGTGAGTTACAATGTTTTCTTACTTGGGCACTCGGGCAGGTTACACTCCCTTGTGTCTTGTTCAAATGTGCTGCCTGAGCATGGCTCTCCCCCTGCGGAGGGCCTCGGGTTGGTGCAGGCTCTTGACCGTGTTGCAACTGTAGTTTCATTGCGTCCACAGGTCCTAAAGCAGTTTGGTTGAAGCCACGTGGTCCACGGTGTGTATCCTCCGTTTACTGGAGAATAGAATTGCGTTGATAATTCTTAACAAACAGAGTCTGATCTTGACCGATTATTTCTTTTTCAGATAACCAACACTTAGTCAATACCCTAGAAGACCCAAACTCTATCGAAAGAGGTACATATATGTAAGAAGCGTTTCGTATATGTCACCAAAATATAATAGAAGACGTCAACGGCAGGAAATAGGCAAAATCTGGGCGTTAAAACTACAATAGCGATGAAAATTATATGAATAAATCACTAAAAGTCGGCGATGACACCAGGTGTTCGCGAACACATATAAACAACGCAAAGATGTTACTCCTTCTCCGTTATGAACAATCATATTGTTGTTGGCTTATTCGAAAACTGCTTCTGCTTCTGACATAGAAACATTATGTACCAAGTAAAAACTCGTTCGAATTGATGGCCAATGAAATGACTTTGAAGGAAGACACTTGACTTACTTGGACAGGCGGGAAGGCCACAGCTTCTGACCTGAGTCTCATTCCGAGACTGAGTACAGTCTAGTCCATTATTCTGCGGGTAGGGGGCGGAACATGTCCGGAACCTGATGACAGTCTTGGTGAGTGAAGGTCCACACGTCGCAGGACAAGGAATATCGACCCACTGATTCCATTGACTGATGCCACCATTAACTATTCACAGAAAATGAGACATTTTGGTATTACACATCAAACATAAAGCATTATGTATCTCCAGTGAAGTGTTATACCGACTTAGTACATATAAACTTGAAATCAGCATTTATACATGTATATCAGTACGTTATGAACATGAACTAGTGTTTGGCTAACAATACAGTTTATAATGCATGCACGTATTGTTATAACGTACAAATGCGTCCCCAAAATCTTAGAAAAAGTTGTCGGCTCATTGCCAGCCTCGTGTTAAAGCTATAACCATCAATTTAAAGGTTGGCTTTGTTATAATTTTCTAAGGTGTTGGGGATGCATTTTTACCTTATAACAGTGTCTATCATGATGTTGAACAATCCTTGAGCATATTCCGTTTTACTATATTGGCATTGTACATGTAATAAGACGTACCAGCGCAGTCAGGGAGATTGCAGTTTCTCTGGTCAGTTTCAGTAGTGGGTTCTGTACACGGTCTGCCACCGGCGCTTGGTGCGGGATTTGTGCAGCTCCTTAATCTTGATACAGTTTTTGTTGCGGTCCGTCCACATGTGAGACCACATGGGGGATTACTCCATACGCTCCACAGCGTCAAACCTCCGTCAACTAAACATAATAACGTTATTTAAAACATGAACTAATCTATATCCTTACATACTCTTGTTCTCTGTTCGGTGTCCATTAATTATCTCACTGTCTTACTCTCCATCGTACTCTTTCATTCTGTTATCCTTCCTCTCTCCGTCTCATGCTCTAATTTATGTCAAATTCGAGTCAATGTCACACTTCTTATGACATTTTTCTCTAAATAAGTCTATCTTGTTTTATTATTTTGTTTGTTGTTTAACGCCGCACTCATTAATATTCCAGCTAAAAGACGGCGGTCTGTAAATAATCGAGTGTGGACCAGGCAATCCAATGATTGATATCACGAGCATCGATCCTTGCAATGTGGATACGACGGCATGCATCAAACCAAGTCAGTGAGCCTGACCATCCGATGCCGTTAGTCGCCTCTAACGACAGGCATAATCGCCTCTTACGACAAGGGTGCGTTGCTGACGACCAATTCTAACCCGGATCTTCACGGGTCCTTGCAATTGGGATACGATGACATGCACCCAGGCCAGACCACCAGACCCCGATAGTCGCCACTTACGACAACCATAGTCGCGTTTTACGACAAACATGGGTTGCTGAAGACCTATTCTAACCCGGATCTTCACGGGTACCAAGTTGGTCTGTGTGTCCTTCGTTCTTTCCATCTCCTTACCACGGCATTTTAGAATATATGCTCTTTCTCTGAAACGTATCTTGTCTCTTCCTCCGCCATTTACAGAGGTTCGTTACATGGATACTTGCTCGTGGATATTCTGGGTCACAACAGGTATCCAACAACCTATCCTGGTCGACGAGACCAAATGGATTGGGTGGTCAGACTTTATGATTTGGTTGATAGCTTGTCATCCGTTCATTGACAGCTGTTCACAATATTAATCGCTGGATTGTCTGGTCCAGAATCGATTACATACGGGCTGTGTAAAAAACCTGGAATATTGCTTAGTGCGGCGTCAAACAAACAAACAAACAAACAAACAAACAAACAAACAAACAAACAAACAATCGATGACCAAAGGGAACTCACCTGGACACGAGGGCACAAGACATCTCACTAAGTTTGTGTCAAAGCTATTCCCGACACAGTCCAGGCCACCGAATGCGGCAGGTGGGTTGTTACAACTTCTGAATCGATACTGACGTTGGTTCACGTTTCCACATGTGAGGGGACAGGGGGTTGTAACCCATGATGACCATTCCGTAAAGGCACCATTGACTGAGGTAATAATGGAATAGTTTAGCACAAACATTTGTCTATTTCAAATGATGACATTTGCACATTTAGTCTAAAATGATTTATTTTGTTCTCCTCTCTCTTGAAATTTCAATACAAATGGTTGTGAAAAGAGCAGCGATATTGGATATTAAACCTTTGTCAACCTATTGCTATACATCATAATGCATCTGCTCTATATTGACAGGAGTCCTTTCTCCCACATCTTAGCATCTGTTTAAATCTCGACTGAATAAAGCCGCGACAAGAATCCAAATATATCATTGCGGCGTTAAACTCCAATTCACTGAATATCGTCTTCTGAAATTTACACTGTCCGTATACACTTTAATATCAACCAGGTGGATAGCATGCGCACATAAGCTTACCTATACAAGCTGGGTTGTTGCAATTGACAGTACTAGTTTCAACTGAAAGTCCTGTGCATACTGCTCCCCCAAATGCTGGTGTAGGGTTGGTACACGACCTGAATCGATTGATCAGCCTGGTTGCATTGCCACATGTACGGGAACACGCGGGATTCGTCCAATCAGTCCAGGGTGTGTAACCGCCGTCGACTGAAAAGTGTTTTTATATTGCCGTGATGAAAAACTATGTTGATATGAAAATATTAAATCGACGTGTCTTTAGAGTGAAATAAAACCTCATGAGAATATGGTTTCCAGACTAAGATCGGACAGTAAACTCATACAACACAGAGAATATATGTCACTTTATCTGATCCAATGGCTGCGCCATTAAAAATGTTACTCGAAACAAAAAGCTAATATTATTGTTAACCAGTAGTGCAAACAACATTTATTAATGGCTCAAAGAATAGTAGATATATACTACTCAAAAGAAGTTTAAGAACATCCGTAACTATGATGGTATGAAAGATATCGGTTGTTCTATAACTTTTTGTTAACAGTATATAACATACGGCCATTGGTCATGTATGATGGACTGGTTTAGACATGTCATATACCCACCAGGGCAGTTTCGGTCAGTGCAGTTGACTACATCGTTATCTTCCAGCAGTTCTGTACATGTCTTTCCATTAAAAGCTGGGGTTGGATTGGTGCATGTCCTGCTTCTTGTCCTCGATCTTAGTCCAGGACCGCAGGTTCTTGAACACGCAGGGGTAGTCCACTGTGTCCATTGTGTCACTCCACCATCAACTATAACATGACATTACCTACTTGTAACACGTTTTAATGTAATCCTTTTGAGTTAATTCAGATATCGATTTTATTAAAACGTTTGACCATTATGTAAACCTTGCAAGGAAACATTTGTACTTCATTAATGTCACCTGCTTGATACATATCACTGGTATTGTAAGAAAATTTAATATATACTTTTGTGTAATGTGATTCATTGTCAGGAAAAAAGAGCCATCTTCAGATTATTTTAGTAATTTCTACTTTAAACGAGGTCGTAGTATTCAATTGATTTCTAATCGAGGTGCATCGTAAGTTGATGTTACAGTCGTATATTAACATTTATGAGGTGCAGACAACTGCAGACTCCTATATGAGATCGAAACGAACATACTTGGGCAGGGTCCAAGGTTACAGCTGTTGCTTATTGTTTCTGTGAGTGGGTCTGAGCATCCGGTTCCCCCATTGATAGGTGGAGGGTTGGTGCATGTTCTTGTTCGTAATCTTGATCTGGTGGCAGAGGTCCCACAAGTCTGTGTGCATGCCTGGTCGACCCATTCACTCCAGGCACTGACATTCCCGTCCACTGATGATGGAGGAAACAAACGTTACGAACATTCACTAAGAGTGTCATCATTCATATGATTTTCACCGCTATTTTACCCTGAACTGGAATCTGTTTCAGTGGATAATCAAGACTAGTTATTCTCTGTTATTCTCTATTTAATTCATCATGTTGACTGCTGACTGCGGCGTTGAGGAAGCATTCTCTTGCATTGAGGTAACATATTTACTGTTCATTACACTTTCGATTCTGTAAATACGTCAAAGCCAGAGAATAACCAGTCTCGATTAGCTACCGAAACAGATTCCATTGGGCGTATAAAGCAAATTTATGGCTGAAATGGATAGAATTATCGTTAAACCGCCCCCATGTTATCAGAAATGAGCGGGGCACTGTAACTTGATAATGCCCTCATTATCGCTTATCATGCCCGTTGTTAGGTGACGTCATAAGATAGGGATAGGTGACGTCACGTTGAATAGTGACGGCATCTGGTTTGTTCTATGACGTTTCCATATTTGTAAAAGTAGGTCATTGACATTCGTGTTGATTGCAGTAAATGTTTGAAAACCGATATTGTTGATTCTTTTTATTTGATTACAAATTCCATCCATTTTTGCTATAATAACGGTAACGCTATTTTTAAGGGCATTATCATTTGCAGAAGCCCTCGGAATCATATCGACAAGCAGTTATGATTGGTAAAAAGTTTTCCTGTGATGATTATGCAGGTTAAATGAGATACTGTAAATTTCGTGGTTTACCTGGGCAGCTACTGACGTCACAGTTCCTCGTCTCTGAAGCGAACAGAGTGTCAGTGCACTGTCGTCCCCCGTTGCTTGGTACTGGGTTTGTACAACTCCTGGTCCTTGTCAAGGTTCGCGTGTTCACACCACTACAGACACACGCAGCACCTGCCCATTGTGTCCATGGAGTTACGCCTCCATCAACTGTACAGCACAAGAGAGTGGTCGTTTTAGAATAACATTACATTGTTTTGTTCACACCACTACAGACACACGCAGCACCTGCCCATTCTGACCACTGCGTTAGGCCTCCATCAACTGCACAGCACAAGAGAGTGGTCGTTTTAGAATAACATTACATTGTTTTGTTCACACCACTACAGACACACGCAGCGCCTGCCCATTCTGTCCATGGAGCTACGCCTCCATCAACTGCACAGCACAAGAGAGTGGTCGTTTTAGAATAACGTTACATTGTTTTGTTCACACCACTACAGACACACGCAGCACCTGCCCATTCTGACCACTGCGTTAGGCCTCCATCAACTGTACAGCACAAGAGAGTGGTCGTTTTAGAATAACATTACATTGTTTTTGAACACGGATGTCCTGAAAGTAGGAATGAGTTTCTTACAAAAATATTATAACCTCTACAACTATTAACAACGTGATGATAAGGTCATGATAAAATCTACTCACTTGGACAGCTGGGAACAACACAGTTGAAATCGGTTGTCTCGAAAAGTGGTTGAGGGCAAAATCGTCCTCCGCGACTTGGAGCAGGATTAGTACAAGTCCTCGTCCTTTGAACTGATGCAGTGGTGTTTAATCCACAAGTTCCAACACAATTAGGTGGCGACCAACTTCCCCAAGGAGTGACATTTCCATCAACTGGAAGCAAAGTAATATTTGGTATTACAGTGTTACTTTGGGAAACAGTTCCTAACCCTACCTTCTCCATACTCTTGACGGTCGTAGTCCTCTAGCACTTTAACCTATTGCGAACACGCCATTAATCTAAGATTTCTCTTTTCTGTTAAGACACACATACTATTGACACCTTTATGGATACACTACTAAGGCTGGATGTGTCTGTTTCTTTGCGCCAGTCATATCCAGGTTTTGAAATATAATGGCAATGCATAACACAAACATTTGAAGTGGCATTTGGTGCTGGATGCCTGACGGAACAGTTTCTAAAAAGCGTCATGTTCCATTCGTACTCACTCGGACAAGCGTCAGTTCCACATATGAGTGTCCCCGTTTCACGCAACGTTTGTGTACACGCTCGTCCTCCACCAGCAGGCGTGGGGTTGTTGCAGAATCTCTCTCTCGTGCGTGACAATGAGCTCGTGCCGCACGTGACCGGACATGCTGGTTGAGACCACGGGGCCCAGTTGGACAAGCCTCCATCGACTGTGAAACAAGACAAGATCATTTAAATATTACTATTTCTAACATCTTTGTTCGCACATCCATGCTTGACATCTTAAATACGATAAACTGAATGTGAATCCGAGGGTAGGAACTTTCTCTGTTTCGAATGTGAAACAGACATGAAAGACACATTGGGAGTCAATTAATTTACACTTAAAGTACAATTAAAGTACACTTTGGTTAATCTCTATCATTCACTTACAACATACCGATATGCATTATTCTTACATACTACATACATGCAGATTTGGGAATATCATGCTCTGTTTGTAAAGGTGTCATTGTACAGTCAAATATCTCTTAACTCTACATCAACTTACTTGGGCAAAGATTGTTGAGACAGACTATCGATCGGGTCTCGAACCTCGTTTCAGAACACTCCCGTCCGCCGAACTGGGGATTCGGGTTTGTGCAGGTTCTGGTCCTGATGTCAATCTTTGATACCAAGCCACACGTAGCAGGGCAAGGAACATTGGTCCACTGAGTCCACGGAGATATCCCTCCATCAACTAGAAGAAAGCATGTGTTCACAGTCAAAATAGGCATTTTGTGGTTTGGCTTGGTTTGTTGTCTAACGCCGCACTCAGCAATATTCCAGCTATATGACGGCGGTCTGTAAATAATCGAGTCTGGACCAGACAATCCAGTGATTAATATCATGAGCATCGATCCACGCAATTGGGACCGCTGACATGTATAAACCAAGTCAGCGAACCTGACCACCCGATCCCGTTTGTCGCCTTTTACGACAAGCATGGGATGCTGAATACCTATTCAACCCCGGATCTTCACGGGTTAGGCATTTTGTGGGGCTCCAAATTCGAGTAGTGATGTACTAACATGACACGTACAATCGGGGGTGTACGAGAGTAAGAGAAAGAATCGCACACCGTCCACGGCTTACTGATACACACATACGTTCACATAGGACAACTCAACATATGCCGGATTTACTGCAATATCCTAGAGTGTTATCAAATGCGAACACATGGGTAAGTTTGAATATAAGGTCACCACCTCAGCAATATTTAGAAATATTGTGACTTGTTACTGTGCAACCTTTAACGATTTTACATGTGAGGTGAAATGGGGTTTAACGTCGCGTCCAAGATTATTGCACTTATATAGCGACGTGCATGTACGTGTGTGTGTTTGTGTGGCTGCTTGTAGTCCGGACTGATGCCGATTTATAGTGCTAGCTCACTGAGATACCATGCCGCAGTTTAACATGAATACCCCACTCAGACACAGTATACTGACTCCGAGCCGACCAGTCCTTGTTTTAGCCCCTTAATGCCGAGCGCAAGACAGGGTAACAACAATTTCACCTCACCTCACACAGATAGACGTTACACGAGCAACATTGATAACCATGTCCCTCTTATCCCTAATCCATGTACCACATCGCCTTGTACATGTATCACTGACCTGGACAATTTGTATTGTTGCAGCGTAGCGTGGTAGTTTCCGTCGAGAGTCCAACACACGTGGCTCCATTGAACTGCGGAGGTGGATTTGTGCAGGACCTTCGTCTGGTCACAGTCTTGAAGGCAGTCCCACAGGTCCCGGGGCAGGGAGGGTTAGACCACTCCGTCCACTGCGTAAACCCTCCATTGACTGAAAATAAACGATGGCAGCAATGTAAGTTGCGCTGTAACAGAACACCTGATGTTGACTGACACTTGTATTACAAACACGAAAGGGGGAGATGGTAAAAGGTCATATGGCACGATCGGCATTGTTCCAGCTACATAGAGAAGAGGTATATTAAAAGAGTATTACAATGGAAGAGGAGGCATAGTTGGTTGGTTGGTTGGTTGGTTTGTTGTCTAACGCCGCACTCAGCGATATTCCAGCTGTATGACGGCGGTCTGTAAATAATCGAATCTGGACCATACAATCCAGTGATTGATATCATGAGCATCGATCCACACACCTGGTATACGAAGACATGTATCAACCAAGTCTGCGAGCCTGACCACCCGATCCACTCGCCTCTTACGACAAGCATAGTCGCCTTTTACGGCAAGCATTGGTTGCTGACGACCAATCTTCACAGGTCAGAAGAGAGGAGAGAATCTAGGTAAAGTGGGTAGGTAATCTAGGTAACTTACTGGGGCATGGTTGAAGTCCGCAGTTTGTAGTTCTTGAGTCAAATAGAGATTCGGAGCAAGGACTTCCTCCAAATGCTGCCGACGGATTGTTGCACTGCCTTGTTCTTGATTGTGTTCTAGTAGCATCTATACCACAGCTGACTGAGCATGACTGCAGTGTCCATTCTGACCATGGTCCTGGTTGTCCATTCACTGACATAAGAAACAGTAATAACACATCATGTTCTGTAATGATTATGCAGTGTGCATTATCAAAAGGGCCGTATAAAATTTGGACCTTGACCGAGCAAAATAGAACTTATTGGGCATGGAACGTAGAGAAATAGGGCACATGAATATATGCCGTGATCAGTATGACGCTCGGAAATCTCCGGTGCAGAATGTTTGTATATGTTTTGTATATGATATAAATATGATTATAAGCATTATGAATGCTGGTTAACATTTTCCTCAGAATAACGCAGGATATAACATTATGATCAGAGCACAATTTTCCCAGGGTATAAACTAAACACATAAAATTTCTGGTGGTGGTGTAGGGGGTGTTGGGAGGTGGGGTATTGGGGGTTGGGGGGTGGGGGCGTGGGTCAGGCCCATACCTGAACATCTTGGCAAATTGCATGCCTGCGTCCGAGACTCCTGGCGAGACCCGGAACATGCCAGTCCTCCATTGGTCGGTTCCGTGCATGTCCTGGTCCTAGTTTCCACCCTGGTCAATGAAGCGGGGCCACAGGTTTCCGTACATGTCCCCGCCCACTGGGTCCATTGTGTAAAAAATCCGTCGACTGTTGGAATAAAGAAATCAAACGAATTCAAAGACAATACTGCTAATATCAGGTTTCGTATTCTGAGCATTACAAATATTTGGAGAATTGGAAGTTTTTAAAGAAACCGCAAAGCTGGAATAATAGCCTCCCATTACATCGATGCATGTAACCTATTCTAAAGTGGAAAACATTCCTTTGATGTCATTTAATCGCTAACGATATCGTCGTTCCCATTTTGTATACAAGATCATAAGGCTGAGTCCCCAACCCCAAAGTCGACATCTAAATTTGTGATTACATAACAAATAAAATTATAACGCCACTTAAACCGGTAACATATGTTATATTTGGGATAACACTTTCTTAGTAAAGTACAGATTCTAGTACTTTCTAGGGTTGAGTCCAGTAGCTGAGTGGGTTAGGTTGCGACTTTGTGTGCTGGCGCCCAGGTGCCTCAGTCTGGTATCGTGGGTTCGAATCCCGATTGGGACTCAACCCAACAAAGTACCAGAATCTGTTATCCCAAATACAACATATCTTACATTTGACCACTTTTTAAAACTGTGTTGACATTGTAGCGCAATGTAAAGGACCATTAGATTGCATTCAATTTCAGTGTGAACGCTCTCGTCCAAATTAACTGCGATTCACTGTGTGAGAGTCAATGGTACTTTACCTGGACAGATTGGTCCTGTACATGGCCTGTTAATAGTCTCCTGTCTGCTATCAGTACAGTTAGCGCCACCATAGCGAGGTGAAGGCTGTGTGCATGTTCTGTATCTGTTCACTGTCCTGAGGCCAGTACCACACGTCACAGGACATGCGGAATCAATCCACTGACTCCATGGGGATATTCCACCATTAACTGCATCAAAAACATCAATATCTTAGAAAATGCCGTCGAGAGAATAGTATAATCAAGCTTACATGTTATGAAGGGGCCCGAATGTATATTTCAAGGTTAATGTAATTTCAAGATTAATAACAATGAACCAAAATTAATATACATAAAGTCAGTAAAACAAGCAAAGTGTTTTCATATTGGTAAAATTAATGTTAAGAACATTGCAAGATAAATTTCGACTTTCATAATCTAATGTAAATTGGAAAACATTTCCTCTCAAACAAATACGATATATGAGGCAAACAAGAATAAGTTACGCTCACTTGGACATCTGGGAACAGTGCAGACCGTTCTTGTATACTCAGCCGGAGATCCGACACAGTCCAACCCTCCATTAGAAGGAGGTGGGTTGGTACAATTTCTGTATCTTGAGAGTTCCCGAAATACGTCAATCCCGCAGGTTCGATCACAGGAAGTACCCGCCCATTGACTCCACGGGGTATATGCGCCATTAACTGAAATAATCAGATTCAACAACTACAGTAAACTACGGTTATAACGAACACGCTTATAACGAACTGTCTGATATAACGAACTTATTTTTAGTCCCGGCCATTTGTTGTATATATGCTGTATATATGCTTATAACGAACTACGGTTATAACGAACTAAAATAAGTGGCCCCTTTGAGTTCGTTTTAACCGTAGTTTACTGTTAAAACGCTGTATTTAATTACGCCACCTCACGTTTCATGCCTATTTAATGTATTAATCCATGCATGTCCCGAATAATGGGTGATTGCTTCATTCGTTGAGAGTCTGACGTTCGACAAATATAAATAGTGATACGTGTTCGATTCCACACTTTATTACAACCTGTGAAACTCGTTCTTGGTATTCATTATTGGAATATCGTTGCAGGTAGGATGAGGAATACCAACTCAATCCACGTCTGTTCCTTTAACCACTGCTAAGACTATCGATACTGGAAGTATTCTACTTCTGTGTTTCTAAAACGACGTTCTGCGACAGTTGTTACTTTCACTACGACAGCTGCGACTACTCCTACTTCTACTATTTTAAGAACAGTTTTGTGTTTGTCATTGTTACATACCTGGACATCCCGGTAGAACACAGGTGAATTGCTGAGGTTGAAAAACGGACCCGATGCAAGCTTGTCCATTAAATTGGGGAACTGGGTTGTTGCACTGTCGAGTTCTTGTTATTGTTACTGTCGCGCTTGCTCCGCACCTGTCTGGGCAGTTGGGTTGGGACCACTGTGACCATTGCGAGAGACCACCATTGACTGAAATCAAAATAAGAAAATCAGTTCAGCATCAAACATGAACCAGTTACCTTCTTATCGCTTCTGGGGCTTGTCCTGCTGTCGCTGGAGTGAGTGAGTGAGTGAGTATGGTTTTACGCCGCTTTTAGCAATATTCCAGCAATATCACGGCGGGGGACACCAGAAATGGGCTTCACACATTGTACCCATGTCGGGAATCGAACCCGGGTCCTCGGCGTGACGAGCGAACGCTTTAACCACTAGGCTACCCGACCGCCCCGCTGTCGCTGGATATAATTGAAATACGTAATATATAATTGACTCCGAGGGAAGTCGGTGAAGAAAAGCCGGGACTGGATCAGGGAGAAGAAAGAGAGGCGGCGGAGGCAGGGGAGAGATGTCCGTCCAGACACAAAGTACACAGGGCGACAGCGGAAACCCAAATTCTGATGTCTGTTGTTTGTTGTAAATAAAGTATATATGTAAAAAAAAAATTAGAAAAAAAAAGAAAAGAAAGAAAAACGTTTACAGTATCTATTGCAGCTGCATATGTAGGTGCTGCACGCTCCTTACTAGTACACGGTGTTATCTGTTTTAATTACCTCTGAATAAATGGTGTTCTTACTTGGACAGTTGGGAAGATCACAACTTCTTAGCAACGTCTGAATGGCTGGCCCTTCACACTGAAGTCCGCCGTTCGTAGGCGGAATACATGTTCTCCGTCTGGTGACTGTCCTCGTCAAAGTAAACCCGCATGTTACACCGCAAGATGGAATTTCCCAGCTGTTCCATTGGGTGTAAAAGCCATCACCTATTAACATAAAAATATTGTCATGTGTATCAATAGTAAATTTGAAGGTAGCTTAAGAAATACAGTGAGTTTGGTTTTACGCCGCTTTTAGCAATATCACGGCGGGGGACACCAGAAATGGGCTTCAGATATTGTACCCATGTCGGGAATCGAACCCGGGTCTTCGGCGTGACGTGAGTGAGTGAGTGAGTGAGTGAGTAAGGTTTTACGCCGCTTTTAGCAATATTCCAGCAATATCACGGCCGGGGACACCAGACATGGGCTTCACACATTGTACCCATGTCGGGAATCGAACCCGGGTCTTCGGCGTGACGAGCGAACGCTTTAACCACTAGACTACCCGACCGCCCCCTTAAGAAATACAGAGTAGTGTGTTTAATGTACATGTTTTGGAAGGAATATGCAATTTATACGTTACCTGGGCAGTTTTGAAGATTGCAGCTCCTGATTTCCGTTTGTGTGGGATTTCCAACACACGGTGCACCATTAAACTGAGGCGGGGGGTTGGTGCAAAATCGTCTTCTGGTGACGGTTCTATTGACCGAGATTCCACACGTTGCAGGGCAAGCAGGAATAGCCCACTCTCCCCATGGCGTGTATCCGCCATCGACTAAAATATAAACACATAAAATAAATGTTTTGATCTGTTTGTTGTTTCACACCACATTCAGCAAAATGTTTTAAAAGGCTGTTGCATTAATACACATGCATGTGTTAACCTGTTTGGTGGACTGAACGTTGCAAAAAATTAACAAAATGTGTCCTCAAATTAAGATCCACTAATGACAGATAACATTTCTTGAATGTAATCTGTGTACATTAAGCTGTTTAAAAGCCTAAAGGGTAATAAAATTCAACAAAGGATGAAGCTGATTGAATATTGCTCAACGTCAAAGGAAAGCTGTATATTTGAATTTTGAAGTGATCTCTTGTCATACAGCCTTGTGGATACGTTTTGTCACTCTGACATGCTCCTCTTTTGTTTCAAGACACGACACACGTGTTGCAAAGGAACAATTGCATTGAGTACAGACGATTATCAACTAAAACTATGCTCTTTAACCTATTGAACATTTTCAGCCCAGGTCCAGATGTGGGATTTGTGTAACAATGACACATGTGTCTTCACTTTGATAAATCATTAATATACTACCCAAAAGAAGTTAAGGATCACCCGATTCTTTCATATTAGTAATGTTAATCTGTCATGGCATGAAAGATTAACTATTGTAATATGAAAGAATCAGGTGATCCTTAACTTCTTTTGAGTAGTATATAGATTGATATGTATTACACGATTTTGGTTAACAGCAAAACAATGTTTTTTGATCGGCTTAAAACATATTTGACAATTTGCCCGACCCTTCTGTACCCTTACACTACAAGACAATACGATGTGTGATATGTGACAGAGCGGTGACTTACTCGGACAAGCATTAAAATTACAGCTTCTTATTTCCTGTTCCACGTACGATCCTGTACAGTTTCTACCATTGAACTGTGGGAAAGGGTTGATACACTGCCTTCTTCTCGTGAGTGTTCTTGTGATGGAAGATCCACATGTTGCAGAGCAGGTTGGGTTATCCCACGGGGACCATTGGTTGAAACCACCATTAACTGGAACGGGTACGTAAAATGTTATAGCAGAATTACTGTTGCTGAAAAGAAAACATCGGTGCCGAACGACAAATTGTTTATGTTTGTCCGAGTGCACATGCAGGCGTGATATTTGTGGGTGATATAAATTTATTTTAAAAACAACAACAACAACAACTCATTTTAAAGTTCGTTATAAGCACATATCAACACATATTCAGCAAATGGACGGGGCAATAAACAGTTCGTTATATCCGTCAGTTCGTTATAAGCGTGTTCGTTATAAACGGAGTTTACTGTACATCTTTGTACAACTCACTTGGGCATCTCGGAATACTGCACGATCTCCTTTCTGTAGCCACGCGAGTTTCTGTACAATCGGCCCCACCAAAAGCCGGGGTGGGGTTGGTGCAAGTCCTTGTTCTCGAGGCACCTGTAGTCACCCCTTGTCCACATGTTACAGAACATGGCTGCACGACCCACTGAGTCCACTGCGTTATCCCTCCGTCAACTGTGCGCATAATACAAGTTTAGTAAAGCATCGTGAAATAAAATCTAAAAATGTTTTCAACAGTATGTTTTGTAAGACGTTGTGTTATGTCTGCATCATTGGAAAGCTTATATCTTGTACATCTAAATTGGAATTAACCAGTGCTGCACAAAAGTTTTGAAGGTTCATGATTCACAACGACTTATATGTAAGGTAGTGTATGTCATTCAATCATTCAATTAAATCATTCAATGTGATTCATTTGCTGCCTGTCGTATATTCGCTATTTTTATAATTCGTTTTACATTTCACATTGATTTATATGTGAGGTAGTGTATGCAGTTTAAATAAAATTATTTTATGGACTATTAAGCTGGGGAACTTACTAGGACACGCGCCAAGATTACAGTTGACGATGTTGAACTCTATAGCAGGCCCTGAACACGGGGCACCACCAGCCGATGGTGTAGGGTTGTTACAGCTTCTGCTTCTAGCGATCTGCTTGGTGGCCAACCGTCCACAGGTAACGTTACACACCGGGTTGTTCCATGGACTCCAAGCACCATAGCCTCCATCAACTGTGACAAACAACATTTGCTAATGAATAATCATATTGCGTTTATATAGCATCGACGATCTGGATATTAACATTACACGAATATTTACGTTTAATCAGCAAATGCGTTTTGTGAACAGCAGTACACACACAATGAAGACATAAAGTGGTGTCGGAAGCAATTACTTACTTCAGCAATATTCTACATATATGTCGACAGTTATTTAAAATCAACTCTGGACCAGACAATCCATTGATTGACGTCATGAGCATCGATATACGAAATTGGGACACGATGCCATGTTTCAACCAAGCCAGCGAATACGACCACCTGATACCGATAGTCGCCTCTTATGACAAGTCTTTGTTGCTGAAGACCAATTTTAACCCAGGTCTTCACATATATTAGAATACGTTCGCTACAGATAGGAAGACTATTAAGAGTATTGAAACTGATGCATGACAGGCTGCAAGCTGTTTTCCGACCTTATGATGGTTGGTTGTTTTGTTGTTTAACGCCGCAATATAATAGCTATATGACGGCCGTCTGTAAATAATCGAGTCTGGACCAGACAATCCAGTGATTAATATCATGAGCATCGATCCACGCAATTTGGATCGATGACATGCATCAACCAAGTCAGCGAGCCTGACCACCCGATCCCGTTAGTCGCCTTTTACGACAAGCATAGTCACCTTTTACGGCAAGCATGGGTTGCTGAAAACCTATTCAACCCCGGAATCTTCACGGGTCCCGACCTTATGTAAAGTATAAATATTGAATATTGATGGATTCCTGATGACCATGTTGTTACATTGCAAGGATTACATGTAGAACACATGAAGCCAATATCATGACGTTGGCATTTGACTGGCATTTGACTGCGGAAGCTAACCCGTTAACACTCATGACACTGTAAGGGTGGATTGTAACACAAAGTATCATAATCAATACATTGAGTTAACAGTCTTATATCTGTATGGAGGCAGCCTCCCTGGTCTTGTAGTAGAGCGTCCGCCCGGAGAGCGGAAGGTTCGGGGTTCGATCCCCGGCCGCGTCATACCAAAAGTCGTTAAAAGATGGTACTTGTTGTTACCCTGTCTGGCGCTCGGCATTAAGGGGCTAAAACAAGGACTGGTCGGCTCGGAGTCAGTATACTGTGTCTGAGTGGGGTATTCACTTTAAACTGCGGCATGGTATGTCAGTGCGCTAGCACTATAAATCGGCACTAGTCCGGACTAGTACAAGCAGCCACACACACACGTGCATGCACGTCGCTATATAAGTGCAATAATCTTGGACGCGACGTTAAACCCAATTTCACCTCACCTATATCTGTATGGACACAACAGACAGATGATTACGGGAACTTACTTGGGCAAGAGGGAAGTCCACAATTCCTGACCTCACTTTGTGATACTTCGCCGGTGCATGACGCACCTCCGAACTGAGGTGATGGGTTGGTACAAGTTCTGTTTCTAGTGACTGTTCTGGTGACAAAAGTACCACACGTGCGTCCACATGAAGGAATGTTCCATTGGGCCCACGGAGTGAAGCCTCCATCAACTGAAGTATCAGACATGATCATGTATATAATAATCATTATAATAATAATAATAATGATAATGATAATGAGTCTACACAAAAAAAGAGACATTACACAGCTAGGAAAACACAAAGCCTCACTACTCCAAGAAAGATTTGGTGAAAAGATAGGTTTTGAGTCTTGATCGGAACAAAGTAGGACTGTCAATGTTCCTGATATCCAATGGCAGCCTATTCCATAGCTCAGGGCAACTTTGGCGAAACTCCGACCTCCAAAAGTCGCCGTTCTAACACTAGGCACAGAGAGTAGGGACTGGCAGCTTGATATGAGAGATCTCCCAGGCACGTACTCTTCAAGAAGCTCGCTGATATAAGTTGGCTTTTGATTGTGTCTCGCATTGAACACAATCAGCATCTCTGGATTCTCTCATTGATTTTGATACTATCATTGGTAGCAGACAAGTCTTGTACATATTTAAAAAATCAGTTATGTTAGATGCAGTCAGAAGTTACACACAGGTAAATAGCTGTATTCCAAACATTGCAAGGAAAAGCAGATACACTATTCATAATTCATAATAGTTTTTCTTGTTTGAATGAGGGTAAACAATAAACATTTCTTATGACGTTCATATCAAACGGTATATTAAGGAAGGACGTGTTATAACTGATTAATCAAGCATACTTTAGCATTATCATTAACTGTCTTCCGTATTACCGTGTTGGACAACTGCAATTGCAAAAAAAACACATTTATACAATAATTGTACACATGTACTCACTTGGGCAAGGTGTTAGAGTACAAAGCCTTCCGACTGATTCTGTCGCAGGCCCAAGTTGGCTACAGTCGCGGCCATTGTTGGCAGGTACTGGGTTGTTACATGTTCTAACTCTGGTCACTGTTCTCGTGTACGATGTACCACAGGTACCTGCACATGCAACGCCACTCCATTCCGTCCACAGTGAGTAACCTCCATCCACTAAAACAAAACATAAATATTATTGTAACAATACTAAATGGGCGTGAATCAAATGTGTACGTTTACCACTGACGTACAGAGAACCAAATAGTCAAACACAATACAAAAGTGTTCCTTAAAATCGCATTTCCTTTCTATTGTGAATGTTTCCAAAAGAAACCCCAACAGTCAACATAAGTTACAATCAAATATACTTACTATTAATTTACGTTATTAGCTTTGAAATTCAATAAAGACAAAACCCTATTCAAAATTTGATTTTTATGTTTTACAGTGGCTTCATATCCATTTGATTGTGAGAGAAAATACACTAAATATCTCGACGCTTTTCTAAAGAAAATGTAAGGATAATAGTTAGGTTTGGTTTTGGTGACATTATACAAATCAGTGATGCCGCAGGTTGTTTGCGAAAAGGGTAAGCATGTCCTGCCCTACCGGTAGCAACCGGGTAGCATCCGTCAGTCATACAATTTGCATAAAAGAAATTCTTGCTATAAGATTCTTGATTCAAATCATATGTCTAGAAAACAAACTACGCTGTATAAAGTCTCACATGTACCCATAACCCATTTCTTGTTTCACTTACAAGGACATCGACCGAGCCCACAGGAAACTTCTTGAGTCTCGCTGAGTGGTCCCAGACAGTTAAATCCACCAAACTGAGGGGGGAGGCAGATCCGAGTTCTTCTCACTGTCTTTGTAGCTGTCTGTCCACACGTCGCACCACACGCCGGATTGTCCCATGGTCCCCACTGTGTGAAGGTGCCGTTGACTACAAGGACATAAGTAAAATGAGGAACCGTTTGTGTACACAGGAACGCATAAATATAAACCAACAATTTTCATCCTATATTGTTTAGGCTTCAACATCATATCAGACAATTTTGCGAAATTGCCATTATTGTAGGAGGGTATAGTCATAAACAAACTGTCTTCCTGCAGCTTGGAATACTTACTTGGACAATTAGGAAGATTACAGCTGATCGTCCTCGTATCAAATGTAGTGCCAAGGAAAGTACAGTCGCGTCCACCAAAAGCTGGTAATGGGTTGGTACAAGTTCTGGTTCTGGTCAATCTCCTGGTGGATGAGCCACATGTCACTTGACACAGAGGACCACTCCACTCAGTCCATAGAGTGAGACCTCCATCAACTAAAAGAATCACAATAAACACACTTCTATATCGAAATTTGATTTTTGAGGTCATGTACTCAACATATTCTTTATCATTCATATCAAATTATAAAGTGCTGACATTGGCATTGTGTTATTTCAATCGCCTTATGACACAATCTAAAATTAACAATATAGAATCTCTGGTATAAAACATGGAGGATATGCCTAGAGTCCAACTTGACTCAACAAATTTAATAAATATGCACTATGATTTTATATAGCTCACTTGGACAGGATGGAAGACCACAGTTCCTGTTGGAAAACTGAGATGGTTCTCCAAGCAATGAACAATTTCTGCCATTGTTTCGTGGTGCTGGGTTGGTGCATGTTCTGAATCTAGACACCTGCCCAGTTAGAGTTGGACCACACGTCTGTGTACATTGAGGATTACTCCATAGCGTCCACTGTGTGTAACCTCCATCAACTGAAGAACGATGTTGAAATGTTATTATTACATAAGTAAACAATCTACCAACAAAACAGTATAGATTTCCAAAGTGTGCAAATAAATTATTTAGCCGCTCTGACTATTTAATCAAACTGTCTTAGTTTCACCTCGACCTTGAAGTAATACTAAAATTAAACGATTATTAGGGACAAGTAAACACGACTATTACAAATAAACGTACCTCCGCAATCCGGAAGTAAACATGATGTAGTTCTACTCTCAAAACGGTTTTGTTCCGGGCAATCAGCACCACCAAAGGCTGGGGTAGGGTTTGTACAGGTTCTTCTCCGGTCCACAGCTTTAGTAGCAAAACTACCACATGTAAGTGGACATGGGGGATTGCTCCATTGGGTCCACAGCGTGAGGCCTCCATCAACTGAAAAGATGGATTATGTTTGAGAAAGTTGGTTCTGAAACATTAACACATGGAAAGATATCACTCATGCCCGGAATGTTAAAAGTATACTTTCATGGGCATATTATAACTCTTGAGCATGCCAATTATGATTAAAAAAGATATATAATATTTTCTTTTTGCGGCCTTACAATGCTAATATTCAGGCATGTAGAATCTATTGTGATACCTTTTGACTTAAACAGGTATTTGACCGTCAAATTTCAATTTCACCTCAGGTATTGTAACGCATTCCGGTAATAAAATGAGAATACGGAGGTCAAATATAGTGTATGGGCAGTTACAAGTAAAGAATATCTTATACGGCTTCGGCATGACCTACTTGGGCAGTTAGGAAGATTGCAGCTTCTTGTTTCCGCCTGAAATGTACTTCCAAGTAGTGAACAGTCCCGCCCACCGTTGAGTGGTGTAGGGTTAGTGCAGGATTTGGTTCTGGTCACCGTCCTTGTAAATGTTGGACCACATGTCTGTAAACAGGCAGGTCCACTCCACTCAGTCCATGGAGTTAGACCCCCATCAACTGAATATAACAGACGGTATAAGCATGAATCAGATCTGTTCAATTTATCATTATGAACTGAATCGATTGTCTTTAAGTCAGACCGAAACATATAAATCCTATGTTTGTTGCACTAACATAGATAAATATACGACAACGCTAGAGAACAACTATTCTCGATTATCCCCCGAAACAGAATCCACCGGGCGCAAAAAGCAAACCAGAGGTGCAAAAAAACTTATTTAAAGACGAGAAATATTTTTGAATGATAAATAAAGTACCCACTCGGACATGGGTTGATGAAGCAGTTCACAACGATTCTATCGTCATACGCCCCGGTGCAGTTTCTACCACCATTAGAAGGGGAAGGATTGTTACAAAATCTTCTTCTGGTCATTTGCCTTGTTGCAACGGTACCACATGTTGGCGAACATGCTGTTGCGTTTTCCCATGGCGTCCACGGACTAAAAACTCCATCAACTGTAACACAGAAGTGACCAATACATTAAGGCATACCTTGAAATAAGTTGCACTATTACTCCAAGATAAAATAGCTTTAGTTTACAGTTCAGTTTTGGTGTAGTAGTGTTCTTTTAGACAGTGTGAAAGAGAAAAGAAAATATAAGGTTTGACTTTCTTGTTGATGTAGTATGACAAAACGAATAGGAGTATGTGTTGTTATCGTATTGGTTCAAAAGAAATGCAAAATGAACTTGGGAACACATGAGATCTTGTGGACGTTTCCCTGCGCATAAATATAGATACTGATGAGCATGTTTGTTCATCAATCCAAAACTTAAAAACGATGCATTCGGCAATGCAGTATCGCATTTATCATGTATAAAGGATCAGCATTTAGAATAACAGGGGGGGGGGGGGGGGGGGGGGGGGGGGGGGGGGGAGGAGGGGGGGGGGGGGCGCACGCACGCACGCACGCACGCACGCACGCACTCATTCACCCACTCACTCACCAACTATAGGTCATGGAATGTCAAACCTGAACATTTGTCACTAAATAAGGGTCAACAGCTTACCTGGACAAGGAGCGAAACCACAGCTTACAATAAGGGACTCGTCGAAGCTGCCCTGACAGTTTCTCCCACCATTCTGTGGAGGTGGATTAGTGCAGGTCCTCCTCCTGGTGACCGTGGCGGTTTGACCAGTACCGCATGTTGCGGAACACACTATTGGGCTCCAACCACTCCAGGGAGTGAACCCACCGTCCGCTGTAATTGAAAACAGGAATTCAGGGTAACAAAAGTTTACTATGTTTTAACCATTCACTACCAAGAAGATAACAGATATACAGTGCCTTTACGTTGGACATTGATAACAGTGAGTGAGTTGGGTTTAACGCCGCTTTTAACAGTATTCCAGTTATATCACGGCGTGTCAGCTTAATGTGGGAGGAAAGCCCCAAGTGATGCAGGTCTCAGACATTTACCACTTCGGTGAAACCCACGAGCACGGGTTTGGTGCTGACAAACCTAGAAACATAATCGGGGCGAACCGGGATTCGAAACCACAATCATAGGTTTCTGGCGTGCCAAAGGGACGCATCTCTGCACAGCGAATCGCGGCGCCTTAGACGACTGGGCCACCCGTGCCCCCACATTAATAGCAACAACTAAATATCTATAAAAGCAACTCAATAACAATCCCGTCTTGTAACACGTTCGTTACATGTTATATATTGTACATACATGTATATGATATATACATGAATGGACATTTTTATGCGAGGTTAAGTATTTAGTTTGAAATTGGATACAAGCGCAGGCGTCGAAAAAATGCATGTCTGGCATTATAAGCGACTGGCGACTATTAAGAACCAACACAATGAATAGGCGGGATTATGTATCACAGAAAGCGATTATCACATGGATCAAATGAGACAAATGCAGGTGGTAGCATACAATAGACATTATGAAAGATTCCAACACCCTTTAAACAAAAAGATCCGATGTACTGAAACTTTTTGAATCAAACCTTTTACATGGGCTTTATAAAACACAGATCATACGTATACTCGTGAATCAAATCACAGAAGACCTAGCACTGATAAATCTCCTATGCACAAAACAGCACATATGTAGTGTGCATGTCAGTTAACTAAATGTTCTTTGTCATGTTATGTGTTCAGTGTATAGTCTGGAAGGTAATTTAAGGTACCGACGTTGAGACGCCCAACGCCAACACCGTATTCGTGCGTGCGTGATTCCCGTGCACCCTTTCGAGTTGAGTTGATTGGTTCAACTGTGTCATATGGCCTGTGACGCAGGGGTAGCATTATGCAGATGGCTGTTACAATGAATGCTCATTCCACCCGTGACGAACAGGTCTGGTTGTTGATGAAATACGGATTTTTTATGCATGCACCGATTGTCTTTAAATGTAATACCCAGTTATGCATGACTGTTTAATAATCTCATACCAACTTTGACTGGAGTAGGTCGGATAGTTTTTTTCAGATATTGTAGTAAACGTCGGTACCTTAAATTACCTTCCAAACTATATAATGGGATTTATATTACAAATGAAAGTGAACCTATGTTCTAGGCACTCACTCGGACAGACAGGAATAGAACAGGGTCTGTTGCTTGTTTCTTGTAATGGTTCAGTACAATCTGCTCCACCATTCGTTGGTGGGGGGTTAGTGCATTGTCGCTGACGAATGGAAAATCCAGTGACACCCACACCACATGTCTGGGAACATGCAGGGGGGGACCAGTCTCCCCAATCTGTTACCCCACCATTGACTGAAGAGTACGAAAAGCAATACAGAGTTTAAAGCAAGGAAAATATGGTACATATAGGTTAGGTGATTTATTCATTGATAATAGTTCTTGTATTCCATTTCAGAATCCTGCATCCCAGTCGAACCGCCAGAGGTATCAAATCTGATTCTATTTGATATCTTAAAGTCAAAATAGTTCACTATAAATCAGAAGTATGGGTTGTAAAGTTCGCTATGGACGTTAGCATGATTTTTTTTATACTCTTATCCTAAAGTGATTAAAGTGCCATGGTACTAAATATGGTGTGGGACATAAAACACAGGGTTATCGTCACTGATTGATGAATTTATACATTCAACCTATTGTACGCAATAGACACAATCGATGCTATATGATCCATCATTTCTGTCACAATGAAAGCTTTCGTCATGATAAAATGGAGAGGAACCTACTGTGTTTACAAGTTATAGGTATCAAGCCATCATTTTATACATGTATATATGAATCATTTCAAGTTTGAACCCTTAGATTAACTCATTCTGATTCGAATAGAATTTACATTTACGTAAGACACAGCAGGTAAATCTCCTAATTATCAAGTGAAAACACAAGCAATATAAGCAATGTAAGCAGCATGTTTGCAGTCAGCCTTGGAATTCAGCAACTTGGGTTGTCAAAATGACTTCTTCTGCCTCTCATAAAGCAGGTCTTGGTATATATGTGTAATGGGGGTATGGTTAGTTATATAACAGGGATCGACCATTTTATATTCTGGTTATATATTCTGCAAAACCAGACATTTATTTAATTAACAACTATGAGACGAAATATTGAAAATATATCTTGCCACAATGTATCTTATGTGGCTGAATATCAAATCAGAATACCGGCTTTACGTTCATAACTCCATAAACGCAAAAGAATATTAAAGTAAAGTTTTCTTAATGATATAAATAATCATAACCGCGCACAACCCCCCCCCCCCCCCCAAAAAAAACAAAAAAAACAAAAAAAACAAAAAACAACAACAACAAAAAAACAAAAAAACAACAGTACAAAATCAGGGATATGATTCAGTGGAATAATACAACCAAAGTCCCGCCCATTCTTTTATCAGCCAATCAGAAAACATTAGTTCATTAGATCGGATAGCTTCATTATTTTCAGCCAATCAAATGTCGCACAATCACTGAAAATGTTTTTAATGTATTTGTATATAACTGTTTATATTGAGGAGTAATGTCAATATTTACTTTGAAATGTACATTGATAGAAATAAATATCTACAATCCATAATCAATTAGGTAAACAGTCTGTTATCCGCCTGTCCACTGGGAATCACCCTTGCATCTGGGGAGAAACATCGCAGACATTCTGATATGCAAAACAGAGGTCCTTGTCCGTCACAAAACCTGTAGCTAATTTCAAAGGACTTTACATCCTCACAAAAGAATGAAATTCAACCAGCAAACCTTTCCATGATAACCCTTAATTTCGTATGATCCTGACCTGTTCAACATAATCTTGACATCAGGCCCCACTGACTCGAATTGGTGAACCCACCGTCAGTTGCAACCAGTCCAAAATAAAGACACAATTTGATGGATAACAACTTCTTTAATACAACTTCCATAATAGAACAAATACTTACTTGGGCACGCTGGAAGACCACAGTTCACATTAAGAAACTCAGAATACGGCCCTGTGCAGTTTCTGCCTCCATTCAATGGAGCTGGGTTGGTGCAGGTCCTGCTTCTGGAGATACTCTTGGTGGCTAGTAGGTTACATGTCACACCACAAGGAGGATTGCTCCAAGTAGTCCACTCTGTAAATCCACCGTCAACTGCAAGGTAGAGTACAACATATTATAAGAGCCTGTCGCAACATGATGGTCACTGGCGAAGTGATCGACTGTCAAATGTACTGTGCATTAATACTAAACTGTGCATTAACACTGATAGCAACATCAGTGATACACTACCGTGGATTACTTTATACTACGGAGACAATTTATAACAGCTTTTTGGAAGTGATGAGAAACAAGAGTATAAATCGTTCAAAGATACTGGGAGATTAAACGTTTTGTCATTCTGTAAACGATACGATTTTATGTAAATGATATCACTTTTAGGGGCACATATGTATTCGTTGTAACTGTACGGGTAGAGTACCAAACACGAGTAGTGATGTAGCATCGTACCAGCGCATGATGGTACAGTGCATATTGAAAATCTGGTCTGAAGACTTTCGCCGAAACACTGCCTTCCACCGAGAACAGGTTCATTGCATCCTCTTTCCCTCTGTTGTATTCCTCTTACACCCACGCCACACGTGGCGAGGCAAGTTTCTGTCCATCCCTGCCATTGTTGCCAACTACCATCAACTAAAACATAAATAGGAGTAGCATATATTTACATATATGTGTTCGGTGAAGACTTGACACACGGGGTTGTTTATGCCATTGGTGTATGTCAGATGGAATTATGGAATTATGGTAGCTAGAGTTGGTCTGTAATATTGACATTCCTCCATTGCTGTAGAAATGGTGACAAAAACTGACGGAAGAACATGCATGTATTGTCATTCAACAATGACGCTAAGACCCAAACCCATTATTCTTCTGATGGGTCTACTATGTATATTAACTCCATATAAGACCCGTGAAGATCCGGGGTAGAATAGGTCTTCAACAACCCATGCTTGTCGTAAGGGGCGACTAACGGGATCGGGTGGTCAGACTCGCTGACATGGTTGATGCATGTCATCGTATCTTAATTGCATGGATCAATGCTCATGATGTCAATCACTGGATTGTCTGGTCCATACTCGATTATTTACAGACCGCCGTCATGTAGCTAGAATATAGCTGAGTGCGGCGTTAAACAAAAAAAGCAACTACATATAATGCCTATGTATGAGCGCAATTGCTAAATATCTTAGCCTGCTAAAGGAGGACCATACAGAATACACATCAATTAGTGAGAGAATGCGCAGATCGTCCCCTCACACAACAAATCACTGGTTTATCCAACTGTGCCTATGACTTGCAACAACATTCACTCACTACACGCTGACACTGCATTTAAATAATTATTCATTTCTTTGTTTGTTTGTTGTTAAACGCCGCACACTGACAAATGCCAGCTATGTGACGGCGGTCTGTACAAAATCGAGTCTCGACCAGACAACCTCATGGTAGACATCATAAGCATAGACCTATACTATCGGGATACGATGACATGCATCAACCAAGTCAGCGAGCCTGACCGCCCGGCTGACTACTGAAGGCCAATTCTAAAGCGAATCTTCACGGATCTGAATATTAATTAAAAATAATATGACTTGACATAGATTTCTATGGCAAATGTGTATATCTATGTAAAAAGAGCAACTTATCATAGCAATACCAAAATAAAAATTAGATATATCGGTCCTAGTCATTTTTGTCATGGGCTCAATAGTGTTTATCACAATTTTCACCAAACCCCTCTTTATGCAATGAATCATCGCACCAACAAAACATGTTCAGACAAGATGATGTTATAAACTAATTTTGTGACAAATATGTAGACAATGCAACAGAAATGTAACTATGAAACTGTGTAGGCTTCATTGAAAATTCGAGGTTCACACACCAAGTAATGAATTGGTGTTGACCCCGTTTTGTATAGTCCATGTACAGCTGGTATCGGTGATGCAGGTCCCGTTTACAACATCGCCCAAAGCTCTCATGTTAATGGCGTAAGTGCTGATGGCATGTCCAATTGTGTATGAGTGTGACAGAGTATAAATAAACAGCTACTTCGTTTGGGAATAAATACAAATATAGACTATTTGCAGATTATCTAAGGCGTGCGTTGACGAAAGGCCGGTCAGGTTTTCAGAGACAATAATCACCTTACAATATTCGAGTGAGTGAGTGAGTGAGTGAGTGAATGAGTGAGTGAGTGAGTCCGCTTTGAACAGGATTACAGTTACATCACGGCATGATGTGAGAGGAAAGCCCAAAGTAAGTTGTGAATATATATTGAATGTTTTTTTATTATCTTTATGACTCTAAGACTAAATACAAAGGGGAACTTACTTGCACAATCGCTCAGTCCACAGTTCACTCTGACTGACTCGGTCAAGGGTCCAGCACAGTTTGCGCCACCACCTGATGGAGGCGGGTTGTCACACCGTCGGGTCCTGGTCTGAGTCTTTTGTTCGGTACTTCCACATGTGACAGGACAAGGACCAGTCCATTGACCCCATTCAGAAAATCCCCCATTCACTGCCGTTACTGTATAAGCAATTACGAAATTACGTTTAGATCAATGTCATATTTCCCTCAAATGTCAAAACGTGTAATAATAACATATACGACGCAAAGGAAGTTAAGAACTACCCGATTATTTCAGATTACTTTACTTAATATGTCATGACATTAGTAACATACAAGGTGTAAAAATACATACCTATCACTGTCAAGTATCCCTTGGACTCTACGCCATTCACCACATAGACATACTCTCCGGAATCCGATGTTTGGATATTTTGAACAGTAATGCGTCTTAAAGTACCAGTGTTCTGTGTAATTGAATACTTTGCACCATTAGTAAGCGGCACGCCGTTCCTAAACCAAGCTCCAGCTGTTGCACCAGGGGATACGTTCACAAGAAAGCTTTGAGAATCGCCCACACTCCTCGTAAAATTATTCATTAGCCCTGAAACGAGATAGAAGTAGAATTTAGACAAGATTGAATACATAAATTCAGGCGTTGTTGAAAATGATCTTCTAATATCAGCTTCAACACTGAGTGTTGATATGAGTATGTGCTGTTCCACGTATGATTCCAAAACAATATTACGCTTTTGTTTACACAGACATTACCGAAAGAGTGTGAGTGTGTACATTTGTTTTATTATATTCATTTATTGCAAAACACGACATCTTACCTAACACCGTAAGTGTAGCCTGTGTGCTTGCTCCATCAACTGAATAATTGTACAGTCCCGCTTGAGAGGTCTGCACATTTGGTATTGTCAGTGACTGTAGGGCTCCGATTGTATTTTTCGTATACCTGTTATCACCTGTCAGGTCAACTCCGTCCCTCCTCCAAACGCCATTAGTGACACCGGGAGGATCGACAAATGTTGTCAATTGTGGGCTTGTGCCAGAAAGGACAGTTACATCTCTCATGTTATTTGTAATAGCAGCTGAAACAAACATGACATGAACATGTCAACTGAATGCGGACCTCAAACAACACATGGCCCAACATGTGTGGGAATGTACAGAAGTATGAAAAGTATAAATCGTGTGCCTGAATGACCTTTTACGTTGGCCATGATGGTTGGTTGGTTTGTTGTTTAACGCCGCACTCAGCAATATTCCAACTTTATGACGGCGGTCTGTAAATAATCGAGTCTGGACCAGACGATCCACGCATCTGGGATAAATGACATGCATCACTAAGTCAGCGAGTCTGACCACCCAATCCCGTTAGTCGCGTCTTACGACAAGCATAGTCGCCTTTTACGGCAAGCATGGGTTTCTGAAGACCTAGGCCATGACATAGAGTGGATAGGATCTTACATCTAGTATTAATCCATTGTTAAATATTTTTATCCTTCCGAAAATTCATAGAGCTTATTTGAAATGGAAACATTTGCAAAACGTACATTCCACTTTTCACAAATAGGAATATATACCTCGGACAGACAGGAATCCTCTTGTCGTGACACCATTCAGATTAAAGGTATATTCTCCTTGATCAGAACTTTGAACATTATTCACAACCAGTCTTCGTCCGGTAGCCGTCTTCGTGATGGTATATCTCGAATTGAATGTATCCACACGTACACCATCTTTCAACCAGAAGCCGTCAGCTGCCTCGGTTGGGGTAACCTGAGTCTCAAAAATGGCGCTCTGTCCAATGCTGCTTGTGACGTTAGATAAAGGGGCTGAAAAGAGAGCATGTTTAATTGATAAATTGGTGTTCAGTTTGACATATTGGGATGCATCTTTGATAAAAACTATTTAGATACACTAAAAATTCTAAATAGATCTTCAAAATCTGCTATCAAAAATGATGTGTTATCAAATTTGTTTGAAAAAGATTCATACTATCATGTCGTTATTTTACATATCCAACTTTGAATTGGCATTCAAAGATTTTATTAGTCAACTTACTGAACACAGTTAACATGGCTTGAGGACTCAGGCTGCCAACGGAATATGTATATGTTCCACCATCTGAGAGTACTACAGAGCCTAAGGCCAGTGACCTGTCTAAACCGTTGGCAGTTTTTTGGAATCTGTTATCAGTAGTCAAGTCGATTCTACTTGGTGTTAATTTTATCCAGGAGCCTCCTGTTGGTTGTCGGTTGAAGCCTACTGTGAATGATGCCGGGCTATTAACCAAGCGTGTAATGCTGACCGGGCGACTGACGACAGACACTGAAACATAATAGCTCGAAATAAAGATTTAGCACAGTTATACATAGTTGTGATGTGTTATTTACCGCTTTCATGCCTTAGATCTGATAACATGTGTGATTGTTTGTGCTTGGTATTACAGTAAACTACGGTAAAAACCAACTCAAAGTAACCACTGGTTTAAGTTCTTTGGTTATGTATTTTGATTAAAATATATACAGCAAATGGCCGGGACATAAAACAGCTCGTTATATCTGTCAGTTCGTTATAAGCGTGTCCGATTTAAACGTAGTTAACTGTATTTTCATTGACAAATAATTGATAAGTTCCATTCAAGTTTAAAATACTTGCCAATGTCACGGCACAAGCTTTGGACAATGCCTTGGACAGTATTGAGTAAATTGCTGAAATCTTCGATTTGAATTGCTGTTGAATTATCCGAGGCAATATCCACCAACTCCTGCTCATAACGTCTCTTGTATGGTGATGATGGGAAGTTAAGCAAAGGATTTACACCAACAGCAAACACTCTTATCCCAGAGTTCTTCGTCTCTAAAGCAGCATCTTTAGTATCTTGTGGATAGTTTGACAAACCATCGGTCATCACAATCATGATGTGTGGGTTACCAGAAGTTTCAGCGTCTAAAAGAGCTTTTGCTCTCCTTATACCAAGATGAGTGAATGTTCCTGAGCTCGGATGTCCAACCACCCGAATTTCATTCGTTAGTAAGTTGATGTTAGAGGATGCGTTGATGACAGCATACACATTATCGCTGTATACCACGACCCCAACTCGTGTGTTGCTGTTGCTGCTGATACTTTCATTCACAAAAGCTATCAACGCATTCCTAACTTCCTCATAACTGGAATTACTGATACTCTCCGATCCATCTACGACAAAGTAAACTGTGTATGCCCCAGTACAACCTGTAAACAAAACAATCATCGTTGAAGAATTTGTAAACGATGCAGGCTATACAGGAGTCACAAAAAACATCATCTGTAAGAATGTATTCATCATAAAGCATATCAAAGGATAATATCATCAACTGAAGGAATAACCCCCCCACTTCTCCCGTGTACTCACCATCTGTGATCTGCGATGTTGTAGAGGTGACACACAAAAATGCAATCCATGCAGCGATTAACGTCCACGTTGCAAACTTCATGATTATCTAGCATAAAAGAAAATACAACGAATACAGTAAACTACGGTTATAACGGACTCAAGGGGACCACTAATTTTAGTTCGATATAACCATAGTTACTTATAAGCATATATATAGCAAATGTACGGGACCAAAAATATTTTCGTTATATCCGTCAGTTCGGTATAAGCGTGTTCGTTATAAACGTAATGTATTTCTAAATATCTTAATACGGACATGAATAAAGATATTGCCTGTGCATGTGTATGCTTTATGTAATGTAAACAAAATGTTGTTTCGTTGAGACATTATAATTCAAACACGTATTCCAAGAAAAAACCGTCGAGCCCCTCCAGAATAACAAGTAGCTTTTCCTGTAAAATGCTATTTATTTGATGTCTTTCATTCTTTATTTATTTAATCGGCGCTAGATACAGATAGATACTTTGGTGCCATGTGACCGGTTCTAAGGTTTTCACATTTGTCGAATCATTTATGACATAAACACAGAGAAATACAACAAATGTTTGCTTGGCGAAACTGTGTGGCCTGTGTTGTCTCCAGTGAATATGGGGCTGTGGGGTAGCCTAGTGGTTAAAGCGGTCGCTCGTCACGCCGAAGACCCGGGTTTGGTTCTCCACATGAGTATATTATGTGAAGCGCGTTCTGGTGGTCCCCAGTCAAACCGAGTATCTACAAAGTGGTTAGCTTACTCTGCCCTACCGGTAAGCACGCGTCCCAAACACATGCATTGACACGTTAGGCGTTCACAATACAAAACGCGGAAACGTATCGTACCAGAAAAAATAGGGAATTACATCGAACATAATTTTTGTCACAGACGCGTCCAGTTTTTTTAAAATGTCTTACAACCTACAACATATAACCTGTTTTGTTTTCAGGAAAAAATGAAACTGTACTCCCACTGTCTTATAAACATACATCTATAACAAACTGTTCATTTACTTAAATGCTTTAACTTATCACAAGAAAAGTAGACGTGTACGATCTCCCAAAGGAGTACTGCACATGTTTAGCACCTGGCTCACGATGCAGTTAGATTGAACTGGTCAAGGTTCTCAGTTTTAGATTACACAGTCCCTAAGCTGCCCCTTCACAGTCACAGTGTGCTGATTGTTAAAGTCACGGTGCATTGAGCGGCCTATACACGGTAACCAGTACCCTTTCATGTGGTAACTTCAATACCAATTCAAATTAACTATATTGATCGGAGGATCAACAGAGGCAGCAAAGCTCGCTGCAATGACAGTGAAATGTATTCATACACCTTTAATGTATGTTTGTTAGTTGTTTAACGCCGCACTCGTGATTGACATCATGAAAATCGATCCACACAATTGGGATACGATGATATGCATCAACCAAGTCAGCGAGCCTGACCACCCGATCCCGTTAGTCGCAGCTTACGACAAGAATAGTCTCCTTTTTGCTGAAGAGCCTATTCTAACCCAGATCTTCACGAGGGTATACCTTGACTGACAACCATTAAACGTATACACTAGGAAGGCAAAACCAATTTTATTCGTCGTACGAGCACTGATCAAACTGTCATGTTGGAGAAACAGTGGATACAACTTTAGTCGATGTCTTTTTAAAACTGTGGCTACATTATATTGGAGTATTTTCATTAAAAATGACAAAAAATGACAACAATACAGGATATGTTCACGACTGTAAGGTTTCTTGGCGTTTGTGTTAATACAATTAAAAAATGATCCGCAAGGAGTGTGTTTAGATTTTTCCACTTTTAGCAATATTTCAGTTGAGCACACCATGGGACCTATGTTTGCATTTACATATTTTAACATGCTTGGTATCGAACCATTGCCACAGCGTGACGAGAGAATTATTCTGTTATGAATTCTGCACTTTTGGTGACGGTTTTTCTAGACCTAGTGTTGACAGTAAACTGCTTGAGGTCCTATCAGGTATACACTAGTTGATGCTTTGGAAATCAGTCATGGAGAACGAAAGTAGAAATTGTTGTGGTGGATATACGAACCTGAATAGCTCAAGCGCTTTATATCAACGCGATCCTTGTCATGTATTACCCTTCACGTTCCAGTACATGTGAGCATACATTGCACTGTGGTCATGCAGTTTAGTCACGTTTATTCACTTTGGTTATGCCGCCTTAGTGTAGTTTCTTGGACTTTAAGCAACTCTCTTGCCATCTGAACGGTTACACTAATTGCAAACCGTTCAGGGAGGATTACAACGGGAAAAGTACATGTTTAAATGCTTTAAAAAAGCACAAGAAATTAAATGTATGAACACACAATGGAATTTAGAAAGAGCTCAAATGTAACAAATGTTATGTTTTGGATAACACTTTCTAAGTAAAGTATAGATTCTCGTAAATTAAATATAAGAATACGGATCACATATGTATTCGCTTCTGGATGCTAGCGATAGAGAACAGTAATATCAAGTGTGCTTTATGTCTTTAAGGGTCGGTGGAAATTAACAGCTTGTATAGGTTCAGGTCCTAAACCAAATATAAGAGGACACACACACATGTACATGTCATAATTACTTCCGTTATAAAGCGACTATGCTTGTCGTAAGAGGCGACTAACGGGATCGGGTGGTCAGGCTCGCTGACTTGGTTGATGTATGTCATCGATCCCAATTGCGTGGATCGATGCTCACGATATTATTCACTGGATTGTCTGGTCCAGACTCGAGTATGTACAGACCGCCGTCATATATCTGGAATATAGCTGAGTGCGGCGTTAAACAACAAACCAAACCAAAACTTCCTTTATATCTATGTTTAAGGATAAGAACCCATATAAGCTGTTCGTTCAACCAGCCATTAAAGACTGTCCAAAAAGCACACTTGAAAGCGCTGTTTTCTGTCGCTGAATAGTTAATTAATAGTCGTCAACCCCTACAACAAACACCTGCCGGATGCAGATTGCTGTGGCCTGCTGGCGTACATTAACTGTGCAAAACGTCTAACGTCATTTGGTTGCAGTAAAACTTCAGTTTTTGCCTAGTGATGTGGTAACTTGTAACCGTACATTTGGAGCAAGGGAAAATTAGAGCTAAGACTGATAAGTGATCCATAACATCTTTACTTCTATTTGCCCAATCTGTTTCGGGAGATAATCAACACAGATGCTCTGGCGTTGAGGTTTAATATATTCACATACTTGACGGATACTTATTTATGAGCTGAGAATGCATTGAAGTGTGCACTTTAAATCACTTTCTCGGTCCCTTGAAGAGTATACAACTCCAGCTGCATGTTAGGCCCTGAAAGGTTTGCATGCACGTTAACAGGTGAGGTGAGGTGAGGTGGGGTGGGGTGGGGCGAGGTGAGGTGAGGTGAGGTGAAATGGGGTTTAACGTCGCGTCCAAGATTATTGCACTTATATAGCGATGTGCATGCACGTGTATGTGTGTGGGTGGCTGCTTGTACTAGTCCGCACTGATGCCGATTTATGGCGCTAGCTCATTGAGATACCATGCCGCAGTTTAACATGAATACCCAACTCAGACACAGTATACTGACTCCGAGCCGACCAGTTCTTGTTTTAGCCCCTTAATGCTAAGGTAACAACAAGTATTATCTTTTGACGTCTTTTGGTATAACGCGGTCGGGGATCGAACCCCGGACCTTCTGCTCTCCGGGCGGACGCTCTACCATTAGACCACGGAGGCGGTCTGCACGTTAACATATCACCAATGTGTACAATACGCCTTTTTGTCCATTGGGAGTTCCCTGAACCTGTACTACTTTACAGAGTGCTGTTATGAATGTATTTTCCTGTGATGGCAAAACGTGAATTTGGGTTGTGTTTATACAGATCATATTGTCAGGACCAGACAATCTAGTGATTGACATCATGAGCATCGATCTACGGAAATGGGCACGATGACATGTATCAACCACGTCAGCGAGTCTGACTACCCGATCCAGTTAGTCGCCTCTTACGACAAGCATGGGTTGGTGAAGGCCAGGATTTTCATTTTCATAGTTATTTTTGACATTCTCTATGAACTCGTTATATAAAAAGGAAAGCCGGCTTAACGAATCACTCCTACCCACTAATATCAGTTGCAAAATATATAGACATTTCTCAAAGACATCACCCGGCACTATGAGTTTACAAACAAAGGTATCACGGAATAACGAGGTGTCACTGTATAGGAACATCGACAGCGTGGTCTGGTGTAATAACGGTTCCCCGGCTAGTAAGTGGTGTTTCAATTCACATTCACAAATTCTCTTTTAAAAACTCTTACTCAAAAGTTATTTGATCAGGGTTTACAGCATTCAAGGCCTTAATACATCTTTCAAAAGGTTTTGTGGTAGACATGTGGAGGATGCTTCCACATTTCACGCATCAGTGTAAACAATTTAGTCAATGCATTTCCATATTCCATATGTATTCCAATGTCTGTTCAAGTGAACACTTAACTTGCCTTTGCACGTGTTTGTGACGAGTGCCAAAGGTGGGGGAGGATACGTTCGCATTTTCGCGAACACCTGGTATCATACTTTTTAATATTGATTCAAAAACACATGCTTATGACATGGTCCTAATCATACAATTGAAATTTATGACTATGGAAATGGTTTAATCGCTATTATTGACAATAAAGATTGATGAATACACGTTGCAGTGATATGCCATGGACAAAATAACATTCGTTTCACAGCTACTTTCGTTGATTAATTTAACCAATATATAAAACCTTGAATATTACTTGACGGATACATTCGATAACTACATTTTTAGATAATCTGTTTTAAGGATAATCTTTGACAAACGAGTATTTCGTGCTCCTCGCGACAATATGTATAGCGAAGCTTCAGTTACATGGCTGGGTGTCGACTGGCCTTTTCGCTCACAGACATATAGCCAGTTACATTCACGCCTAAACAAAAATAGATTCCCCATTTATTAACAATGGAGGAGAGAACATGTACCGGTATTTCTAGTCGTAGTAAATGCTGAGACACCCGTCTCGCCAATCGTGCCCAAACCGGCTTCGGGTGGGGTCAATGCATAATACACCGCATACCGCGAAAACTTCCTTTTGACGTTTTAATAACACGATTGGTGTGAGTGTATCAAGCATTTTAAACACATAATATGGCTACGAATAATATGTCGAGTACATTGGAAGCCCGGTCAATATATAGTACATGTCAATTTCTTAATTGTTATATAATAAACGTATATAATAATGCTATATTGCTCTTCTATTCATCAGATGGAGATAGTTTTCAGTTGGTGTATACCATTATATCAGGTATCCCAATGATCAATATGTGTGACACACAGGGTAACCTAGATCACCATGTACATGCATATCCCACGGACTTTAAGCACCATGAGTTATAGTAAAAAGTAATTAGGATAATTACCTTACAAAGCTACACTATCTTCTAACAGCATTCTTCAGAACGAAAATCCGAAAGTTTGGAGAAGGCTCACGACTGAAACTGAACACAAAATCTCAGTAGGTACTACCGATAAGCATCTCCAGCATCAGATGAATGAGACTGCCGACGATCATGTAGCTCGGGTTATTCGACACACATGGGCAACCTCTTCCGACAGCACCCTTCTTACATCATGGCAATAACAGCGAGAAGCTGACGAAGAAGAGGCCGTACAATGGGGAAGCATGTGCTCACAGAACCGTAAACTGTTTCTGCATTAAGGCAGTGGGACAAGATTCCCTCCCGTTAGCCACCCATTCCATTTGTCCCATTGATTTTAAATTTTCAGGTTATTTCGATATTACCAATACGAACGACTGATTTGACGAAAGCCTCCCAAACCTTATTGGTCATGAAAAATACCCTCATCAATATCCACCTGCTAATACATGATGAAAGGTGGAGAAGATGGATAAATCGTTGTAACTAGAAAATATAACAATGAATAATTACCTTTCGTGTATTAAATCCAATGTTCACGTGTATCCGAAAAGTCTCGAAACATTTTAGAATGGGGAACAGGTACGAAAATGTCCGAAGAATTTGTGTGGAGTCTTCGCTGTGGTGTAGTAGGCGAGGTGACTCCCTCCCCTGTGTTATTATAATAACCAACCTCCACACAAAATACCCGTCGCTCAACAAGGGCCTGCCCGGTTACCCTTCACGCTTTACGCCGAGTAGGAATTGAGGTGGCGGCTCACGGATTGTCGATACAATATTGCAACCTGTTTAGTTGGATGAGCAGTTATGACAGGCTATTAATACATTGCACTTCTTGAAATGCGAAGGCATCAGTCATACCAGCGACTCCCAAAATGAATGGACAAGGGCGCGCCATTTGGCTAGTTTGTATGACAATCTATGATACTGCGGGGGCATTTGAAATTTACATAAAGGTCACTTATAGTAATGCTACAGGCGTGATTTTTTTATTCGAAAACCGGTTTGGGATTGAGTAAGCCTTTAGGTGTGTGCTTAATAGTTACTCCCACTCATGGATAGATAGGCTTTTAAAGTACAATACTAATGTTCTGCGCATTTTATAGATTGGAGTTTCACAAAGCGATTGATATGTCGAGATTTTTGTGTGTGAAATTATTCACGTTACGTAAGCAAGGCAAGTATTCATAGATAACGGTAAGTGATTCGTCACAAGTGGAACTGATTCGTGATTGGAGGTTATTTATCATTGGTGACGTACTAGCAGCGTGAGTAAGTCAGGGCGTAGGACTGAGATTCTTAGGTTGACATGAACAGTGGTGCTAAATCTATACAGAATGGAGCAGGCATTTTTGTCAATACATGTCGTGAGCACTCTTGACACGAGGATTTATGCAATGTCATGGATCTCCGACGCATTAAACACTACGAAGAATTAATATTGTATAATATATTGGAGACGGTAAAAACGTTTTACGAGTTCCGTACTGAGAAATTTCTCACAAAATCCCATCGAAATTTTATGTCACTCAAGGAGAATATTTGCTTTCCTTTCATTCCCTCTGTTGACAAATTTAACGTGTAGAGAATGTGTCAAATTAATAAATCAACAGATTTATGTACATAATCCCAAACTTGATTCCACGGGATATAACGCTTGGATGAGATCACGCAATATCCAAGCAGATATCGCTACAATAAAATTGAATCATTACGCTACACAAGTGCAATGATCTTAAACGCAGTACACAGTACGCAGTATCCATGACACAGGCCATTCACATGTTGATTCGAAACAGAATCTCATTGGTGGCCTAAGCATAGTATTTGTGATGGTTCATCAGAAGGACTGTATAACTTTTCGGTGTGATGCTGATGCTGATAGTGACACATGACTCAAGAGATCATTGTTTAAAGATGTATCAGAGTGCAACCAAACTGAAATGGAAAGATTTTATGAGTGTTTTCGATGGGAGATCATTTTTCAGATTTACAACTTTACCATCTTTGTTGACGTATTTAGCCCCTTGGCTGTCAAGGTGAAAGACCTGTTGAGTTGGATAAGGGCTACTTTGAACAGTCTTTTGGGTAATTGAATATCACAGCGTGTAATCGAAGAAGAAGAAGAAGTTTATTCGGTATCAAAGGCCACATGGCCAAGAGTACAATACATGAGATAAATCTTTGCACACGGACAGGTAGTACAACTGTTATACTATCTCAATACAATATTTATGATACATTATACAGGCAAATTTCTTTTCAAATATATAGCAATATTTTTCATTAGCTTAACATTTTTTGTTGCTACTAGTTGAATAAATTTTGCTCGTGATGGATACTGGTAGTAGTAATAATCAATTACGAATAATGTAGGTGAAAGAAAGGGGTTTACCCCCGGGAAGGTATATACTGCTAATCATAACCATGGCAGTTCTTGGATTCGACCATGGCAGCGGATCCTGTCACTACAAAGGGACGCAACACAGTACAGGGAACTGTAGCGCTGACCAGATCACATTTAAGTTGTTCTTTATACACAAAATTACGCGTCCAGAGCAGTAAAAACTCAGTCCACATGTTTATATAATCGCCAGGTACGCTTTTGAAACACTATACAGGTATTAACATTTCTAGCAAAATGTGAAAATATGTCAATATATGCAAAAGCATATAACCATTATGTTTTGTATCATGTACGGCCAATGACACTACACAATTAAATTCCCTACCGAATACCGGCATGGGTAGTGCTGAATAAAAGATATGCAGAATCTTGAGGGGTGGGAATGGCGATCTACACTTATCACAGGTATAAATGTACACAAATAAAGGTCATTGACTTTGAAATACCTTCTTTATATGAATTAATAACCGTGACTGTTAAGATGGTAGTGACTTTTCAATACGTTTCGTGCAACAAGGTTATAAGAACTTCTTTTGTGTATTGTTTGGTTCACAAACACTGGGCGTATCCGAATACGTATTTATTGCTTGTCACCAGATTATACATATTGTACGTAGGCCATTCTGACAATGTCATTGAAACCCACTCACCAGTATGATCAATTCTATTCATTAATGAAGCGATACATCCTATGAAATGGCAGCATACTTAAGTTATTTCTACGTCACGGTCTATTTGCTATCAGGCTGTATTAGGGCAACTGTTATGGAAATGTCAAATGGCTGGGCTGGGAAGACGCTCAAGTGGCCGCATGAATAATCCACAACCTGTGGGGTAAGACCGTTTGGTCACTATTCTCTGGGGTTGGTTCTGGAAGGGTGTTAACCGCCATATAACTTGTTTAACCCCCTTACCATATCGGGTGCTTTCGACCTACGGTCACCCACCTACGTATTAAATGTTCCATGGACTATATAACAAGCCGTGGAACGATGTTTTCTTACTTTGGTATCCTTACAAATTTACAAATACGAATGGATTACATACATAGATCGCTTCACATACGAATGTTCTTATCAATCAGTTGTGTGATTTAAATAAATCAAAACATTAAAATATCAAAATGAAAAATAAACATGGACGGGATTAGTCGTGTGGTTGGTCTGGTCTTTACTCTAGGTAATACAGTTGATTACAATATTATAAGTGAAAGTCTGATATAAATGCTGCATTGCTGTTTTTGTCAAATCTTTAAGATGACTTCAAAAATTCCTAACCATCATGTAATGTTTTCATATTTGACTGTTTGTTGATTCTGCATCGAGTGCAGGTGAGAGTACATTATCATTGTATGGCGTCATGCCCGAGGTTTAAAGTCACTATTTAGCATAACAAACGTCAAGGTCACAAGCTACAAAACTGCTGCCTAATGTCAGGAGGCAGTTCCGTGTTTGAAAGAGACGGTAGTTCAAGTTGTGCGATGCTTGTTATGAAACATGTGTGAGAAGATCAGCAGATGAATTCATATTTAAAGTTTTGCAGCACTTTGCTGCTGCACTATAAATAAGGAAATAATACGTTCATTGCAAAGCGTTCACATAATCAATATGCTCCATGTGAAAACATGACACGTGTACATGCATGTGTGTATGTGTGTGGTTCATTGTGCACGTGGACACGTTTGGTTGTTGTTTAACTCAGGCGGTCTGTACATAATCAAGTCTGGACCAGTGATTGACATCATGAGCATCTATCTACCCAATTTGGATTTGATGCCTGGACATATAACACCAGGGCATATGCATTGAAAAGCTTACTTGGAATATATGTAAATACATGCATAACGAAAGGTTTTTCAGGTAAGCATAAATAAAAAAACATATGTTCTTTGCTGTGATTGAGGAAGGTTTTCGAAAACGGCGCAGTTCCACTATAGATCTTTTATCTACCATTATCGTATTTTGAATCTGGTAATATTGGGTCAACGTGAGGTTAACTCATTGTCATGTGCAATTATTGTCCTCTCAGTCAGTTCATTACATCCGTTAATTGTTTTTTATCCATGAAACTATATCCAATTTTGTTCTTATCCAGAGTGTTTCCAAAGGTTCACACTAACTCACATAACGTCTTATACCCTGTCTTATCCACAGTATAAAACAAGGTTAAAACGACACAGGTTAAACCGACATCAATTGAGACGCATCGGATTAATTAAGAATAATAACAGAGTTTAACGTAAACATTTTGTCGATACAAAAAATACCATCTGTTTTAACAGAAAGCCTGATTACTCAAATGTTGGTTCATATAAAGCGTAGAACAAACACGTCATTGCATATTGACTGAACTGTATGGTGACACTTTACGCAAACATAGGCAAGCCAAAACGTCATATTATGATATTAAACAACCTATGAGCTCAAAACGGTTGCGAATTTACATTTAGCGCTCTGCAAATATATACCTTTTCAAAGCGAAGTCTGTCGGACGTATTTCAAATATCGTGAGATACGATTTTATTGCTTGCAGGCACCATACTTTGATATGGAATAGAATTTGAGAGTGATATTCTCGAGCGATAAACTACCATTACTAATTCTGCCCACGGCCAGAACTGATTGAATGGAGCATAGACGTGTCTGACAAATACCACACATTTTGTATAGCGCGGTACGAACCAACACAACCTGTTTATGGGGATGGGAGCGGAGAAAAGAAGGCGGGAGGGCGTTTTTCCCATACACTTAATATCAATAACCAACCCACTACACAAAAGCTTGTGTGGCTACATTGTGAGGAACACGCTCTCTTAAGGGTAATGCATACATACTATTTCATCACTCTCGTTCGCAATGCTGGGCAAATATAAATGTTCCAGCAAAGCGAAATGCGGGTTGCCAGTTACATCAATTACTTAAGGGTGTAAACAATCGCCATTCAAAGAAGGGTATACACTCATTCATTTCTAGGCTAAAAGCAAACACAAGCTGTTGCTACCACAGTAATACGCCGGCGAATAGATTAAGGCCATATTTGTAAATATGTAAATCACGATGATCTTGACGACGGATTATTTTCATCAAAAAGCGACATGTTTCCATCTATTTTCAAATAAACTTCCGCTGTTGTGTTGCATGTTTTGCTAATTCCAGAAACAGTTCTTAAACTGACTTATATTAATAGTATATACATATGATATATGATATATTATATATTTATATAATGTATTCGAGGACGAATATTGGATATTAGTTCAGTGTTTTATTCGCAATATAAACATTATCATACACTAAAAATGTCACTTAA